AGCCTCCCGGCCTAGCCGGGGCTCCACGGCAGGAATCACCCGGGGTAACGCGGATGATCCCGCAGACGTGCGCAGGACTAAGAAATATTTGAAGATTCAACACTGCTATTAAGGTCGTGGTAGCATAAATTAGTCAGTGCATCCGCCAGGATAGCGGAAGGTGCGGGTTCGAACACCCTCTGCTGCCAGGACTACATTGAATTTTTCTAATAATATTTTCTTTAGATTTTAACATCTAGCAGTCAAATGCTTATAAAACTAAAAATATAATAAAACTATTTTGAGTTTGATGGTGCTGATATTGAAATTTGCCGTTAAATCTTAGTTACTTACTACTGCCCATGTTAATAGTAGGTTATACGAGGGCTAATAGGTTACGGGGCCGCAGCATAGTTCCATATTGACCTCGCATACATATGTTTGTTCCCGCGCAAATTGATTACCCTCTTGTCACATTATTGGTTCATTCAAGAAATGAAAAAATAATCGTTATTATTTTAGAACTAGAGGAAAAAGGTTATAGTGGATCACCCGTAAAAGATAGACATATGCTGTCGCGAACTTCTTATTATAATCACTTCGTCTGCATGGAAAAATTAGATTTCATACAAAACAGGGGGTTTTCATCCCTTTAAAGGATGATTTATAAGATAAAAGGAAACTATCCTATGCCCCTCCCTGGGATTCAAACTATCTCTATACCAAATTTCATTTAAATTGGTTTACCGGTTTAAGTGTAAAGAGGTAACGGACACATACACTTTCACATTTATAATATTAGTATGGATATACACACATCAAAAGTGTCTAGGGATCAAGCATTTTTATGCGGATTTCTTGAGATTGAGATGTGGCTTTGTAATAAATTTATGATTTTATAAATTTATATGGATCCTTTTTGGTGCATTTCATAATTTGAATCAGGAACTGTGAATCAAATTCGAGTAAAAGATGAAAATCAGCTGTCAATATTTTCCCTATAAAAACATACAACGCATTGAAGACATTATTAGTGCTACTGTTTCCCTACTACTGATTAAAACCAACGTTATTATGGAGCGGCGACGTCATTTAAGCAGGGAAGAAATGCTCAGAGCCGTGGGAATGATAGAAGCTGGTTCCCGGCAACGTACTGTGGCTTTAGCTCTGAATACAAGTCAGAGTGTTATCAGTCGACTTTGGACACGATACCGAAGCACTGGTACCGTGGCTGAGCGCCATGGAGGACGGTATCGCTGCACCACACGGAGACAAGACCGATACATTCAAATCTTAACTCGAAGAGCTCCAACAATAACCGCCATGATGTTAGCCGTGAGGCTTCATCACTCTTCAGGGAACTTAATTAGCGACCAAACAGTCAGAAACCGCTTGCATGAAGTGAACCTTCATTCCCGAAGACCGCTACGGGTACCACCTATAGCAATGCACAATCGTAGGATTCGATATCAATGGGCTCTTGAACACAGAAATTGGGCAGAAGAACAATGGCGTTTCGTGTGCTTTTCTGATGAGTCTCGTTTTGGTATGAGACCGGATACAAGACGTATACGACACTGGAGAACCCCTGGACGCCAACAGCGATTAAAATCCTGCCAGGAAGTCCACAGCGTGATTTGGATGAACTCATTTTGAGTATGCCAAACCGATGTTCTTGTGTTGTTAGTGTTCGCGGTAGAAATACGGATTATTAATTGTTTAAGTTACCCAATAAAATTTTAGAGAAAACTGTTATTTCAGTCTTTTTTTCGAACTTTTGTGTTAGTGGTTCAAATGTCAAAAATCCCTTTATTAGGAAAATGGCAAATTTCTTTATTAATGCAAAGGTGACTTGGTTTATCGTTACTGTGACAAACGAAAACACTTTATTTGATGAATCCTTAAAGAAAATTTTAATTAATATCAATCAGGAGAAAAGTTATTGCAAAAATATATGTTGATCCCTAGACACTTTTGATGTGTGTACTATGATACAATAGATTCAGTCACAATATACCTAGTACTAAAGTAAGATAAGAAGCCTGACACTGGTGTGATTCTGACATGATTCTCTAAACCTTAAAACTAAATTTAACACCAGTCTCTCCTTTTCATTCTGTATAGAGAATGAGAAGGATACCCTGTTGTCAAATTTAAATTTAGCTTTAGAGATTCATGCAAGAAACGACAATTGTGTTTGTTACTGGGATCGAAGAGTACAGGTGGATCGCGCATTGGCCCAGCTGTCGCCAGCATTCGCATTGGTCGGTAATTGGATGGGCGACCAAAACATACTGTCTCTCACTACTCCGTGCTTCATAAGGCACGTTAAGCCGTTGGTCCCGGCTGCATCTGCAGTCGTTAGCACCCACTAATTCGCACTGGGCCGCATGGTGAGTCATGCATGGCCCGATCTCTCTATTGCATTTCTAGGGAAGGCCAGTGCCCCAGCAGTGGGGACATTAAGAAGCTGATGATGATGATATTACGGGACTATCTGAAGGCTTATGTTAAAAGTGATCAGAAGTTTAATTTATATTCATACTAGCGGCCGCCCGCGACTTCGTACGCGTGGAGTTAGTTAGAAATAAAGGTTCACTGCTCGTTCCCCGTAGGTGATAGCGTGATAATATGTAGCCTATAAGTTGACCCAACTTCCTAATAATATTCGTGCCAAATTTGAAGGAAATCACGCATCCAGAATCTTTTATTATATGTATAGATTATAAAGCTGGAAAGTTTGTTTTTTTGCTTGAATGACCTAATCTCCGGAAGTACTGGTCCGATTGGAACAATCTTTTTACTAGACTGAATTACTGAATAGAACATGTATGGAGGAAGTCTATAAGCATAATGCTACGACCAGTAGGAGCCTAGCACCGATGAAAAATGTTGCAAAATCGGGAATAAGATATTCCATTTGTGAGCTTCCGTTGCGTACGCTGCATAAACGGTAAAAGCTACACAAAAAACTTGTATGACGAAATTGGTCCCCTTTTAATGTAATTCTATATATTCCAAATTTATTTGAAATTATTTTGATTAGGAGTAAATACATATTTTACTGAGCATGTTATATTGAGCGAAAGTGAGTTTGTGTGTTTGTTTGATACAGTTTCACTCCAAAATCACTGGATGGAATATGCTGATTTTTGGTATTGGGATAGATCGGACCCTGGAGTATATGACCTGGGTAATGGATGGGTCACTAATATGTCATTTCTATGCCAAAATACAGCATTCTAGTACTAAGACTTTGAGCTAATTATCAGATAGATGGATGGATGAACTTGAACAGACATAGCATAACAACAAGGATTTCATATTAACCAATTTTTGAAAAGTTTTTTAAAGATTTAAAAAAAGTTCCGTGTAAGAAATTTCAAAGTTTTTATAACTTTTTAAGATATTTTGGTATTCTTTTGAGGTTTAATGAAGCCATCATCAATACAGAATGGCAGAAAAGTGTGCCACTCCAGCAATCCTCATTTTGTCAATCTGAACTCAGCCTTCCACCCCATAGAGCCCTAGTCTAGAAACTTATTCCCCTAAAGAAACACAACATCTGAATATCTTAATCAACCCCTTAAAACTGCACTTGTTTTATGTTACTAACTCTAATTTTAACGAAAATTTCACCATATTTATATTAATATCTTTGTAAGTTAATGATGATAATATATTGTCTATTGCTCAAAATGGCATTTACACAATTATAACTAGGCATTATGACCTTATGCTCTTTCAAAGCAGCTGGTCTAATCATGTCAAAAATTTGTTTAATGTTAATATTGACTAATTTACATCTTAACTATTCTGTGTTTATTTTACAAATGTTATACCTATTTGTGATTAAAAAAAATGTGTTATAATTATAATTTTTAGTTTGAATATTATTTCAAAATTACGATCTTAACAAATTAAAAATTCATTTAACTTGAATTGCTTACTTACTAAATTAAAAAAACAACCCATTAGAAAAAAAAACAATTTTCTTTAAAATTCTCAAATGCAGTATTACCATCTCTGCAGTTCCAGTCAAAAACTTGGACCTAAGAAATATAAAAATTCATCATTTTTCATTTTCTTAACAGTGTCGTACACCACACAAATATGAGACAGAAGCACTATTTAACAATTTAAATGATGAGTATCCAAATAATAAAGCATATTATGTCCGCACTTCACTTGGCTATTTGTAAACTTGACAATGGTCTGTCCTTATCATGGTTTATAAGTGATGAAATGGACAGATCTTTATCATGGTTTATAAAGGATGAAAAGGACAGATCCTTATCATGGTTTATAAGGGATATAAAGGACAGATCCTTATCATGGTTTATAAGGGATGAAAAGGTCAGATTTATAACAAGTTTACAAATAGCCAAGTGAATCGCTGACATTACAACAGCATCAGACAAATGTTTGTGCAGTAACAACAATACATACTTAAATATCTGAGGTATGTTGCATTGCATGATGCAGTGCATGCAAGATGTGTTCTTGTGTATGTGTATAGTTGCAATACACAAACAAATCTTCAGGTAATATTTAAAATAAATTATACTTTTTATTTATTTACTTATTTATAGCCCTAAATTATTGAGAGATACATGCATATATTAATCAGTAAGTATTGAAATAACAAAGTGATTTATTTTTATTACTACCTGTGTGCCTTTTGGCAAACGTCTCCTTAAAAGCTCTTTCCTGTCTTCAGTAATTCTCCTCCAAGTTTTCCTTGACAACTAGCTATGTAACCTGCCTATCTATTCATTCTCTTGGTTGCCCTTCTCTTTGTAATAATAATAAACAATTACAAATATTTAAAAAAAAACAACATCAATAATATGAATAGGTAGAAGGCTTGTTTCATAGTTTTATTTCTCGGTGTTTAACATAAAAAAGTTATATTACATTTATTAATTGGGAACAAACTGTGTTAAAATGAGGCGGATTTGTTTGTCCTAACAGATACAAATGATAACAATGAATTTGATGCGATTTCTGAGCTCACTTACCGCTTTTGGGCAGACTTCTTATAACGTTAACTGCAGCATTGAACTTATCCTCCAAAGACATAGTAACAGCAATAGTTCACACAAATAGTTTCAAGATTGTGTTAAAAAATAATCACAAATACACACTCGCACTTTGGACCTACAAGTCACATCACTCAACGTATCGTAAATTAGAATGTAAGTAAAAGTATCCGTTAGACGAACTTAAAATATTTCTGAAGTGAGTTGATCTGTCTATCACTACTGGTATTTAAAAACACCAGTAGGTAATAATTAATTAAAATATAAAGTAATTAAGCTTGAGCCAAGCAAAGAACTAAACTCAATGAAAGTATTGACAATATTTCAAATGACATGACATTACACAATTTCACGACTGACAGAAGGTGAAGGTATGAGGGAGGGGAGTGAGTATAGAGTTAAGCCAGAAACATATTGGGCCCAATTCTGGCATGCCAACTTACATCTAAAACTAACTAAAATTAGTTAAAGACTTGTAAAATTCAATTTGGTATTCTGTAATGCCATACTGGTGACGTTTCTGCCATGATTCTCTAAACCTAAACTTAATGTTGACAACAGTGTATCCTTGTCATTCTCTATACAGAATAAAAAGGAGAGACGGATGTTAAATTTAGTTTTAAGTTTAGAGAATCCTGCCAGAGTCGACACCATTATCTCTAAATTTAAAATTGACGTCGCTAAGTTATTCAACTTACATTTAGATGATTAACTGGTATTCTGAAACGCATTCCAAATACATATCTCATGTTCACTAAAATTAGAAATGTCACACTAAAGAAGGACCTACGGTGGTCCTCTCTTTTAAATATGAACTATTGGTGCCAATTCTGGCGTGATTCTCTAAACTTAAAACTGAATTTAACGTCAATCTCTCGTCTTCATTCTGTATAGAGAATGACAAGGATATACTGCTGTCAAATTTAAGTTAAGGTTTAGAGAATCCTGCTAGAATCGACACCATCGTACTTAAGTTTTGAACTTGTTGTTATGGTTTGATATGGGTTTACTTCGTTGCAAAAATCATAAATTTTATACAATAATGAACGACGACGTTGATAATAATATATTTGGCAGATCCTTTTTTTTAAAAAGGTAGGAAAGTCTATGTTACGGACTTATTACAAGCCTATTAATGTGTAATGAGCCACCACGTGGGCCCAATGCTGCTTAGTGGGTGCCAACGACTAATAGATAGATAATTCATTTTTGGTTGGTCACCCATCCTAAGATTGGCCATTGTGAAAGTTGCTTAACGTTCACGATCGCAGAACGAACGCGTTACACTTGCGCTATTGTGGTCCTTTGTATGTGTAATGTATAGATATATCTTGGATAAAAACTAAATAATTTAAGGTAAAAACTTTTTTAACAAAAAATGAAAGTAGATATTTAAGTGTCGATATATTATTATTATAGCATTCAAATCACCAACTCCAAATTTTAAATGTGGGTAATGGTGTTGAATCATTCTGTATACAAAATGAAATGGAGAGACTGATGTTAAATTTAGTTTTAAGTTTAGAAAATCACGCCAGAGTCGACACCACTGTAGACTTAAATGAATTATTCATTCCTTTCTTTTTGGTGGTTTTGTTTTTATGAAGCAGTTTTTTAATTATCGTTAGAAAAGTTTTTAATGCCCACTTTTTATAAGCTTATCATATTTCTTAAAATAGTCAAACACGAACTAAGTTCCTACTGTTTGTAAATGAGAAGTAATGAATTATTGGGATTTGGGACCATCTCGCCAAAAAGTGATTAAACAAAAAAAAGATAAAAATAGTAACGCAACTTGGATTAACAATAAATGAGAAGAAAATCTTCAAAAAACAGACGAGGGGATAACTACAACCTCTTACAATACAATAATATCCAAGTAATGTGCCGGCAATATATTTACATCGAATTGTGCAAATCGTACCGTTTATATTTTTTTTATGCTGTCTACACTCGCGTTCTTTTGTCAAAAGCGGATCACTGTTAGGGATGTTCCGATACCATCAAGGTATCGATACCTACTCATTTCGATAGTACTCAAATCTTTTTTCGATACTACTCAAATAAATACTCCTAAAGTATCGATACTTACTGATATCGATACTTTTAGCACTTATTTTTATTTATTTTTTACTTTGAGGAAACTAAAGTAAAAACAATAAACGTTGAAGAACGAAAATTAAAACAAAAGTGAGAAAAAACGAGAATATAAATGTTTTGCGTCACTTTTTTTTAACATTTTAGGAATTCAAAGGGATTATTTAATATTTAAGGAGAGCAGTCGCAAAAAAGAAAAGTATAGGATCCTACCTTTCATTGGTCCCTTTATTTGCTTTTTCTCTAATTTGCCTTTATCCAAAGTTCACACAGAATTCACAGACTTAAAACATTGTTTACATTGCATGCAATTGTTTCGTTTGTTTTGGTAAAATTTTATTGATTTTGGTGGTGCCATGATAACATTGGAATAATAATCCGATGATTACAATAAATAAAATTACTTGAAAACAATCATTTGTATATTCAAATTAAATCTCGACTTGACAGTTTGAAAATTCATTATGTTGACAATGATGACAACTTACATGGCGGGCGGACAGCTCTCTCGTTTTCGGCTCGGGCTCGGATGAAGTCGGAGGAGTTCGGCTCGCCTGGCGCAACCACACCGCTATGTGCGATGAATACCGGTAACCGAGCGAAAGGGCTTTTGCTCTCTCATACTGTCTGCGTTCGGAAATTTTATCTTTTTTAAATGGTGATGCTGATTCGATTTGATACCAAGTACTTTTGTTTCGATACCGAGTATTTATCGCAAGATTGATTCGATGCTATAAATACTTGGTATCGAATCAAAAGTATCGAGTACCTACTCGTATTTACTAGTATCGGAACATCCCTAATCACTGTTCCTTGCCCGTTTTTTCCTTGGCAAAGGTAAATTTATCCAAAAATATTGTAAAAATCTCATTGTGTTCGTGAATTATAATAATTCCGCAGTGTTTTTAACATTTCGTGATATTATATTGGTAAATATTTCAATGCAATTAGTGATAAGTGCCAGTGTTTAATCTCGCCTGTTTTTGCGGTCTCAAAACTAAACTAGTGTATAGTAAATTCATTTTAAATAATTACTCCTCTTTATCCTTTCCGGCAATGCTAACTTATATTTTGATGCAAGTGAGGTTGGTTTATATTATCAGGACAAAGCATTATTTATGGCGGAACATTTAGGCGGTTATAAACTAAATATAATTAAGCGATTTTTGTCAGAATACGCTTTTTTGTTGTATAAACTGTACTTAGTAAGCGATACATTAAACTTATTGCTGTTCAACCTTAATACTGTACAAAAATAGATACATAACCTACTATGTACCTACCACACGGATAGTTATAGATTGGTCGGATACAGCACTAAATTGCTCTGGAGAGCAGGTCTACATTTCATCAACGATCGCCAATTTTTAATAATCATATGCAGATTTTATTCTCGCTTCGTTCAACTAGTATCATCAGTAGTCCTTTGATATCAGTGTAAATTAAGTACCTACCAAGTTTTTCTGCTGATCAATATTATAAAATGTACATATTTTCTGATTACAAAGTAGTGTTTATTTATAGCGTTAATAATCTTAACTGTTGAAATTAACTTAAAATCCAGCACCTCTACCATGAGCACTGCAAAATGATGTATTTATGCTCATTTTTATCTCGCTCGATTCATTTCATCAATTGACCAGTTTAAGTAATTGAACTGAAGTAACCTTATTATTTTGTTTAATATTGACTTCTTCTTCATTAAAGGCTTCATTTCTAAAGGTAATCCTGTAATGTATTTTATTTAGTCTTAAAATGGACATGTGAACGGCCTCTTTAACTTTATTTTAACCATTTACTTTTCCCTTAACAACCATATTGTCGATGTTGTAGGTCTTTCTCTGGCAATATGACCAAAGTAACCTAGTGCTATGATGATGATTGCCTATTCTTGTTTAGGTCATTTTAAACTAAAAAATGCCACTTTCTTCCTTAGACTATTCTTCTTTTACTTTTTAGTTATCCATTGGCTCAGCTTTCCATTATATGTAATTGAGTTGCAAGCTGAAATTTTTGTCACGCAAACTATTAACTATTAAAAACACGTACACGAAATCTTTTTAGGCGGAAACGAATAGAACTCGAGAAAAAAATTATTGAAAATTAATGTTTTTGTAGGTTAAGAGTCAATTTTGACAGCAATTTTGATCAGTGCTGCCATTTTTTTATGCAAAAATAACATGTTTCTCGTTGTCTATGGTAAATATAAGTTTATTATGTTGGTACTATTGTCAAAATGTGACAATTTACCGCCATTAATGAGATCTGTCAGTCAGTGTTTGTGTTCGTCGCAATTGAGAGCTTTTTCGTACTCCTGTTGATATTAATATCGTCTGACTACCATGGCATCCTCAAAGCCTTCGGCCTCGAGTTCTGCTGTTCCTTCGCCTGAAGAGTCGAGTGTAGTGCGAGTTTTGGACTCTAATGAGCCGCTTGTGTCGTGATACTTCACACTAGGTTAGGTTAGGTTAGTGTTGTGACCTTAACGCGCGAGCCGAGCGAGCGAAGCGAGCGTGCCGCGGCAGCGGCCGGCGAAGCGCCAGAAAGAAAAATTCGTTAATAGAGACTTTTTCTACAAAAAATTCTAGGCCCTGGAAGTACAGTTAAAACCCCTCTAATTTTTTATAGTTATCATTTCTGTAAAAAAAAAGCGCCGGGAGGGGGGGGGGGGTTACCCTTCCCTCTGAGGGGTCTTCCCTTATACCTATCCCCCTGAAATTCCACTACATTTAACAGATTTAATGAATTTTTAGGTTAGGTAAAAAAAAAAAACTGCATTTCCGCCAAAAATCTTTTATGGCGGGGAGGTCGGGGGGAGCCCCCCCTCCCCCTCCCCTACAAATTACCCCGAAATTCGATTACATATAATGGAATTAAGTACCTATCCATTTTAAGCCCTTGACAACACATTGTTATTTAAAATGACCTTTAGGCCGTGTTTCCACCAGCAAGAAAACTTCTGCAAGAAATGTCCGACAGCAACTTGCAAATGTAAACTGTGTTGTTGTTACGTAGTTTACATTTTCAACTTGCTGTCAGACAGATTTTCGCACATTTCTCGCAGAAGTTTTCTTGCAGGTGGAAAGGCAGCCTTAGGCTTTGTGTGCTTCACCACCTAATCAACAAACAAAGTTAGTTCTTTAATTCAAAATATAAGATTAAACACTCCATTTGTTTTTGGGGTGAAAAGATAATTTTTTTTTCAATTGTGCTATACTCGCAAAATGCCCAGAACATTTTATTGAATTTTTAACTTTAAAAACAAGAGCGTAATGACTTTAAGTAATTTAAAAAAACTTATATTGCCTGTCCTGTAACTTCCTGTTACTTCAACTAGTATTTTAAATAAAAATGTTTGTATTTTACAGGAGTTTAAGATCTAGTCCACAATAACAAACACAGGGGAAACCAAAATGCCAGAACTCACTGAACTAGACAAGGCCACTGCATCCATGACTGAGAAGCGCAAGGAAGAAACCGCATCTTCGGACAGCGACTCCGACGACACCATCCCAGAACTGGAGGATGCTGGTAGGTTTTCACAAAATGTAGATGGTTATTTCTTTTCTGACCATAGGAATTAGTTTTAAATAATAATTTTATGATAGATAGCTCATGACATTTTGATGACATTATTCATTTAAAAAATGCAATTATACCTTCTGACCTTTTCAGTTCCTGACTAATATTTTTATTAAGAGTACCATCTACATTCATGAAATAAGAATTCTTTTCCATTTTCATAATGACCAAATAGATTTTTTCTAATGTTTTTCTTCAAATAAAGCAGTTAATGTTGAAATAAAAATTTCACTAAATAGTCAACTTAAATTGTATTTATTTCTTTAACGATTATACCAGGTGCGCCTGGAGCTGGTGGTATTTCAAACCCCATCGCGGGCATCGACATCGTGTCAAAGGCGAAACAGTCGCGAGGTGAGAAGAAGGCTCGCAAGATTATGAGCAAGCTCGGACTGAAACCAGTAAGTAACAAAACCAGAACCAGGCAGTAAAAAAACACAAATACACACATAAATTGGAAAATAACTATCATGACAATTTGCAGCCCTGATTAGTACTATGTTATAAAAAACTTGCATTTTTTAAAATCTGGTACTGGAAAAGTAGCAATATCAAAATACCAACCAATATTCTAAACATTTAAAATTTCGTCTCCCAAAACAGGTCCAAGGTGTAAACAGAGTGACAATAAGGAAGTCAAAGAACATCTTATTTGTCATCAATTCACCAGATGTTTACAAGAATCCACATTCTGACACATACATAGTGTTCGGTGAGGCTAAGATCGAGGATCTGTCCCAGCAGGCCACAATGGCTGCTGCCGAGCGATTCAAGGCTCCAGAGACTGCTGCCGCTGGTAATGACTCTGCGGCCACTGGAACGGTGAGTAATCACACCAGATGTTTAATGTAATCTAGGAAGACAAACAGCTGATGTTATATGTATTACTAAGTTACACTAAAATAGAAGAACGCCATTTTTAGCCATAGCAATAACAAGGCAAAAACAATCATTTATCTACTAGAAATACAGTATATTGATGATTTAGGAAGCGAAATCTGCTTGTGATTTTACAAATAGCATGCAAATACATTGGAGATAGTAGAGGATTAGTTTTAAATTTATAGTTTTTAAATCAAAATCAGTGGTTTTAATCTGTTTTTGTAGGATTATTGGTTTCAATGAATTTTGTTGTATAATTGGTTAATTTATTACAATATGGGAATTACAATTAATGTTTTACTGCCATTTAGTTCAGTATAAAACACAATAGAAATATTTACCAATTCAATAAATATAATAGTTAATCTATATGTAGATCTAACTATAAAGATTTAATGAGCAAATGCACTTCCCAGTTTTAAGTAATATTTGTCATACAAAGAGAGTAATATTTTCCCTTTTTTTTCATAGACCGTAGCCCCCATAGCTGAAGAAGAAGACGAAGAAGGTGCAGACGAGGCCGGAGTGGACGAGAAAGATGTGGAGATTGTGATGTCTCAAGCAAATGTTTCACGAGCCCGAGCTGTTAGAGCTCTACGTAATAACCATTCGGACATTGTCAACGCTATTATGGTGAGTAATATTTTATTCATAGTAGAATAAGGTCAATGCTGTGTTTGCATAATTTTTATATACTTTAACATCAGCCTAATTTGTTAACCACTTAAATCCATTTGTGCTAAGTTAATACAAGAGAGAAATGCAAATTTCTCTTTTAACTTTAGCTTAATATTTTAAAAATATTATAGCATAAATCATCATGTAAAATATATAAAAGTGTCAGTTTAGTTGATGATTTATTGTAATGAAATTAGCTGTTTTTGATACTTTCCAAGCATGAGTCTACAATTCAGAACTTAAAATTATTAAAGGAAATTTTGAAATTCTAAAAATTTGTAATGGCAATAAGTCTCTGTATGTTCTGATATTCTAAAAAATTTGTTATGTTATGTTTGCATTAAGCATTATTGGTTGGCCAGATATCAAAAGGTGGTTGGAACCTACACCTTCTGATCTTGTTGAATTTGATTTTTTCTAGTACTAAAAACAACTTTAGATTAATAAATCTAGCTATATATAAATCTTGAAATAAGAGTTTTTTTTCTAGTAAAAAAAGATCTAACATTCATAAATCTAGCAAAATATAAATCTTAAAATAACAATAATGTCGATGCTGGAATGATTCTCTAAACCAAAACTTAAATTTGACAACAGTGTCTCCTTGTCATTCTCTATACAGAATGAAAAGGAGAGACTGATGTTAGATTTAGTTTTAAGTTTAGATAATCACACCAGAATCGACACCAATAAAATATTAATTTCTACTTTTCTTTTTTTACAGGAACTGACGATGTAAAAACGCATAGTCACAACTTCATAGGTTTTAAGTCTGTGTTAGCGGGAGTGCCCTCTCATTTGAATATCCAAAGTGTGCTCCAAAGTGGCCGCATGCTTTAAAAAAAAAGAATTTTAATGAAAATAACAAAAAAAGTCATGAAATACCCATAAGAAAAGGAGGAATATCAAGAATATATAAATGTATTTTACATAATAATGAAAAGAATGGAATAACATTATGGAGTGTATAATGATTGAAGATTCTAATCCTATTAATATTGTACATGTGAAAGCGCATGTGAAATAATTGGACAGATCCGCATGGAATTTGGCACATGGCACGTATATACTGAATATATAGAGTATTTGTCTCAGTTAAAAGTTCCTAAGAAGTGAAATGCTATGCAGAAGCTGTTTAAGTCCCTACCTTTCAGATAAGACAACATATCTACAATTCCATTATGAAAATAGTAGGTACATTGTCACTTCTTTCATATACACATTGTGCTTTCACAACATTTTGCAAAAAGAAGATGAAGAAGCTATTTGAAGACCTCCATGGCCGAGTTGTTTGTACGCCGGGTTTTAAGGTGTCACCTACGATACGAGCTTTTGCACTCCAGTCGTGGCTGTTTAAAATGTATTTCTATATAAATGTACAGTATATGTATTCTCTCCGTTACCCTAGTATCCCATAACACAAGCCATAAGTGCTTACTTTGGGGCTAGGATAATGGTGTGAATGTTGAAAATTAAAGAACTTCAAAAGATTGAAAATAAGAAGTAAAATGGCGCTTACATTTATGAATACGTGTTTTTTATTAGAATCATTTCATTTGAAGCGTGCGGCCAAACGGGGATGTGGTAAGGACGGTTACATACGGGATGTATATAGCATTATTTACTTCAATAAAAATAATTTTTAACTGTCATCTGGTTAATTTTATTTCAATTTCTTCTCTAGTTATTTTACCGGCGCTTAGGTGTATTGTACCCCTAGCACGAACCATTATCGAATTCGAATAGTTTGCAAACCGAAATGTCAATGTCAAATTTTGTATGGAAAGGAGAATGGGCAAATCCGCCTAGATTGCGCTTGACGCATTTATGTATCAAAAATCTTCTTCTGAATTATCATTTCATATGTGTGTTTATTATGTAAATATTATGCGGATATTTAAAATAATAAATAAATGGCTATTAAACTGAGTAAATAACCAATAACCATAGATAAAAGTTGTATCACCTGGTCGATACTATCGATCGTAGGAAAAAAAATCGATTATATTTCTTTATTTAAATATTCTTAACATAAAAAAACGAGTGTGCTTATGACTACACAACTGAAGCGAAACTTCTTTCATTTACTAGCTGTAAGAGAAAAAGAGAAAGAAAATGCGTGCGCGCGCTCTTGCTCCTACACTGTGATACAGACAAAAGGCTTGCACTGTGCTTAGATATACGGAACGTATTTGGCTATGAGAGGAAGAGAGAAAGAAAATGTGCACGCGCACTGCTTTCTCATGCTTACATCCCCCACTCAACTCCCGTTCGCCTCGCCCGATCACACTTTTCTTAACGCTTACGTTCGCTAGCTTACTCCCCAAGTCAAGAGTGCGTCAAGAAGTTTCACTTCAAAAAGAAAAAATAAAACGTTTATTATAATTGAAAGCATAGAACAATTGTAAATAGCCTGAAACATTTTTACCAAACACCGTAAATGACTACGAAATAATGATCATTCGTTAATTCGTAGTCATTTTTTGTTTTGAGGTCTTCGATGCGAGTTGTTTGATTTTTGTATGGATCGATGGATAGATTATTTTCCCCAAATCGCCTATTCAGAGGGCCTGGTTTCGAATTCCGGTGAGGCAAATGTTTGTATGATGGATACGAGCATTTTTACCAATATTATATCATGATAAATAACATTAAATTCATAAAGTTATCATTTGTAAGACCTGTGTTGTGACAATGTCACTGTACCTACCAGGGATTGCTCTCTTTCATTGCATCTAAAAACTAAGAGGAACTTAATGGGCTGCGCAAAAGTGGATTTTTTGTCTGCGGACTATTTTGTTCATCAAATAGTAGATCGCATACAAAAACTTTTATATGTGTACTACATATTCACATCTTAGATTAAAAAAGGGAATATATTTTTGTTTAAATTATCAGTTATGTTATATATAATTACTTAATCATATATAAATTAACTCATGGTTTGAACATTTTAAGCATTTGCATTGAAAAATAAAACATTTATTAATCGATTGTGTAGGAATCGATTCCTATAGAATCAAATCGAAATATATACCATAGGCAAGTGAAGTAGGTAGCTGTCAACTTGTTGTCAACGTGTTTGTTGTTTGTTCGGGTGCAGTTTTCAATTTTGAAATGAATTTGTGTTTTCAGTGGTCTATTGTGGCAGAATAGTTTTAATGTTGAGTTGAGTAATCCTCCGTTAATAACTGTTTTTGGGAAAGAGAGCATTGGACTCGTTGATTTAGTGTTAAGTTACCTTTAGTGATTCTAACAGAGATATTTGGACTCTTAGTTTATTGTAATTATTTTTGTTTACAATGGCATCTGGTGTTAGGGTGCGGCCAGAGTGCACTCAGATTCAGAGTCAGATTCAGATTCTGAAAACAAGCGCGAGAAATAAACAGTGTAGTCTAAGCAGGTTGCCTGCTTTTTCTCGCGCTTTGTTTTCTGAGTCTGAATCTGAATCTAAATCAGGAGTGCAATCTGGCCGTACCCTTCGACTACACTGTTTATTTCTCGCGCTTGTTTTCGAAATCTGAATCTGAATCTGAATCTGAGTGCACTCTGGCCGCACCCTTACACAAGAAAACGCAGGCAGTATGCAACGACGTTGTATTAACTGTTGTATATCAGTGCCACGACGACAGCCAGTACATTCTTTGGACATGCTATCCAATTCAATGCTTAATGTTTTAAGCTCATGGATCGCACCTGATTCTGTAAGTAATTATTTACTTATATTACTAAAAATATAGTAATATAAGTTATTTACGGGATTGTTACCATGTACCTTGTTTTTAGCGAGTTTCCGATATTTCGGCACTGTTGCAAGCGCCATGATCACGGAGTAACTGAGTAACTCCGTGATCATGGCGCTTGCAACAGTGCCGAAATATCGGAAACTCGCTAAAAACAAGGTACATGGTAACAATCCCGTAAATAACTTATATTACTATAATGTTAGTGACCATGAAAGTTTAAAACAATATATTGTTAACCGGTACGGGCCGGATACGTCTCAATTAATAAAACACCTAGAACGCGCGCGGAGTTACTCCGTGATCATGGCGCTTGCAACAGTGCCGAAATATCGGAAACTCGCTAAAAACAAGGTACATGGTAACAATCCCGTAAATAACTTATATTACTATAATGTTAGTGACCATGAAAGTTTAAAACAATATATTACTAAAAATATATCGTAATACAATCGCAACCGTGAGATAATGTTTTAATTTCATTCACATGTTCAAATAAATATAAATATTTTTGACTTGTTATAGATATTGAATGGGGGCATAGTGTGCAACGAATGCTTTATGCTACTACAAGCTATTAACACCACCGAAGAAGTACCTGCACCACAATATGGCCATCAACAAGTCTGTTTTGGTTGTGGAAAATCCATATTAAGAAGTCGATCGTACAGGGTTTCACTACACTGTCCAGAAAGAAATATTATTCTTAGATGGACTCCAGCACATCAGGTATGGTATAAGATATTATTATCAATAATAAATTATTAAAATTGATTTCAATGCTAATTAAAACATGACTGTGACATTATTATTATTATTGCATTGCATGATTGAAATGTTATATTAATAATAATTTATTTAAATTGATTTGATTTCAATACTAACTGAAACATGACTGACATTTTTTTTTTACATTGCACAATTGTCATGTAGTATATTAATGAAATTGATTATATAATAACTAACTCAATCATGACTATGGTGTATAAATAATATATATAGTTTTTAAAGATTGAGTTCTGGATAATACTGCAACTACCTATAAGTATTTGCATGTTGATAAAAGCGACAGGTCATGTTGGTTATATTTTTGAGATCTGTATAATTTACCATATCTTGTCAGATAAATGATTTATTATTATTATTATAAGAAATATATTTCTATTGCATAAAATAGTTGTAGATGGTTTTTCATTAAATTCAAGTTCACTTATCTTTTTTTTATAGGTGTCAAGAATTTCAAGAGTTTGTGCTGCCTGTTGGCAAGCAGCTAATAGGGAAGTGCATAGGCAACAGTTACATGATGCGAATCGGTCATCAATTGAACAAATTGATGTAGAACCAACAGAGTCTGTACCAGTGATCCCAGTACCACCACCATTTCCCGCTGGTCTATTACCTGTTCAGCGCTCAAGACCTGTTATACCTAAGATACAGTCATCAGTATATAAGCGTGCTGTAGCCACTTCATCGAGTTGTCTGTTTTCAGGATGCCGGGAACAACAATGTTTATTAGTACCCAGAGTAATAAGAGAAATGTTATTAATACATAAAAATTCTATGTTCCCACATGTTGTAGAATATGTCAACATCACTTGAATAATGGGCGTTGGAGTGATTTAACATCAAATCTGCAAGATTTTACTGGTGTACAGTTTGATGCCATTTTGAATATAATATAATGCAGAGAGCAGTTTCCCATTGTTTCGACTTTGAAAATATTTCTGCAATGGCTCCTTTCTTATGCCATTATTGGCTGGGAATGAATGCTGAACAGTTTGATGAACTCTTGGCATGTGTACCAAGCTTATTACAGAGTGTCAAAAATCCCCGTTTAGCACTCTGTATTTACATAGTCAAGTTAAGAACTGGGGACAGCAATGAACAATTAAGTTCCCTCTTTCAAATGTCTCGTAGGACCTTGGAGAGAAAAATGAATATAGCTAGAAGTTGTTTAGTTGAAGATTTTGTGTCAAGACATTTGGGCTTTGGTCATGTAACTTTGTAAATGTGGAGCAAGTGGCCAGCAGAAATAAAATAATCCCGGAGGGATTGTTTGGTAATCCAATCTTACCAAATGATATTAAACCCGCTGTTGTTATGTGTGACGCAACTTATATATTTATCCACAGCAGCAGCAATTATCGTTTTCAAAAAGAATCATATAGTTTACAAAAATCTGATAATTTAGTTAAAGCTTTTATGGTTGTGTGTTGTGATGGATATATTATAGATTGTATGGGTCCCTATAAAGCAACCACTAATGATGCTTCAATAACAAGGCATGATTTAAATAATGAAAAAGGAAAACTGCGTTCATTTTTCTGGCAGGATGATGTTTTTATTCTGGATAGGGGGTTTCGGGACGTAATTGAATTTATGGAGGATCTTGGTTTTAAAGCTTACATGCCTGAATCATTATTAGATGGTGAACATCAACTCACTACCCTTCAGGCTAACAAATCTAGATTTGTAACATTGTGGGGCTGGGTGGTTGAAATAGTAAATGGACGTATAAAACGAGATTTTAGATTGTTCAGGCATGTATTTAATAACAGAGCTGCAACTCATTTAAAAGATGATTTAAGAATTGCATGTGCTCTGTTAAATAAGTTTCATCCCTTAATACAGGATCCTCCAGAAGCAAGTGAGTATGTAGCTATTGCTCAAAATCGGCTTAATGAGTCCAATCATTTGGCCGAGTTTGTAGAAACTCAAAATCTTAACAGAAGATGTGCAATGTTTTCTGCAATTGATGGCAATCATCCTCACTTGGAAACCTTTCCCAGTTTAAGCATCACTGATTTAAAACGCTTTGCATTAGGCACTTATCAGTAAAAGCAGGCGCGATCATATTATGGGGAACATATTCGATCGTCTGGGATATATTCCATAGAAATAAATACAGAAATAGATGAAGATGTTCCCCTTGTATTAGGTTTAAACAATTATCTGCTTAGAGGACGTATTAAGTCTAGACATGTTGGTGGACGCACCTATTTTCTTTACATTTTAGTCAGCCGTGACACCAATATAGCCAACTCACTAAGTTGTTTAGTTGGCTATTGCTGCAGTTGTATTGTAAGCAAAAGGACAGTAGGATGTTGCGCACACGTAATGACGGTAGTTTGGTACCTTAGCTCGGGGCGATTTAACGATACACATGCTCCAGCTACATTTTTAGATGAGGTATTTGAAGAAGGTATATAAGTCAATTCTTTTTTAAAAAAAGGCAATATATAAACCAGGATTAGAGCACGCTTAATGTATAAACTGCTGTGTTAATTGAACTTAGCAGAGCTTTAACTGGATATTTCAAACTCAACAGGACATGGTGGCGAGTTACAAAAGATTACAGTTCCACTGGATACGGCATAACCCCAAAAATAAAAAAAAAATATCACATTATTAATGTCGATTTGGATAAATGTGTTATCAATAAATGATTATCATTATTAAAATATTTCGTCTTATTTATTTTTGATTCCTAAACCTTAAATAATATTATATCCATTGTTGGGTTAACAGAGCATCAAAGGTGCAGCTTGAGCGTAAAGAGAATAAGTATAAATAGCACTAATATAACCGCACCTCAACAACGCCACATTTATTGAATCTGAGATGTTTGGAATAAATAGAGATAGATAGCAGCTCACCAACGCAACAGTTAACAAATATACGCTGCCCGTTGATAAGATTTTACGAAGTGCATTCAATTTTTGTTTCACTCCCAGTCCAAAATAGAAGACAAAAGGTCACAACCTAATTAAATACAGTTTAAAGTAGTATACCTAGTAATAATTAAGTATGGTATAAATATCGAATTTAATCGAATCTAAATATGACATAACCTTAAAATGCTTACGTAATTTAATATTTTCTTTAAACCACTACTTAAGTTTCTAATGATATTTTTCCTACGCAATATACACCTGATTCCCTATTGTTGTACACTTATTCCAATAAGACGCAATGAAAAAAACTTAGCCCAACTCCCAAAGTAAAATGACCATTCTCCTTTGAACAGCAGCGGCACAAAGTACGTAACAAGAACTAAAAATCAGTACACATTTGACAATGACATTTCGGACTCGTGTAAACGATACTAATTCACACAAAACACATACGTCACTAAAACAAGTCTATATTTACAGCCTAGCCTAACTACTAGCTGTGCCCCTCGGTGTTACCCGCGATTTATTAGAGATATTTTCCTCCAGTAAACGTAGCCTTTGTGATAATCCAGGGGTGTCAGCTAACTCTATACCATATTAAAATCGCTTTAGCCGTTTAGACGTGAAGAAGTAATAAACATACACACTCACAAACTTTCGCCTTTATAATTTTAGTGTGGTACCAACTTTGTTACGATTTCAATTAAATCTGTTTTTCACACACCCCAATTCTTGAATTTAATATGATGAATTTTAGTATAGAGATAGGTTCGAACTCTTTCGGCTGCAATCGAAGTAATTTAATGCTGGCCAGTAACATTTTGTTAAATATAATATATATTTTGTTCTAAAACTTATCAGCTTCTTGATCAAATAATCGTTTTGTCATGCGATTTAAAGTAAGTAGTTTCTTTATTTTCACAAATACGGCCTACCTATACAATCAGATGTAAAGGCGGTTGTCCTGATAACAGCTGAACAGCCATAAACAACGATTGTTTACGGTTGAAAACATTTCATTGTTTTGTTATAAATCCATTTTATGTTTGTAGTGTTAGTGATTATTTTTGTTTATGTACATACTATACCTAGTTAAGACATGGGCGAGCCGAAGGATTTTTTAAAAATACAATTTATTTTTAATGGAGACGTTTATTCGTTCCAACTGCAAGCTTAACACTAACTTACAAAAGTTACAACAACATGTTGTTGACAACTCGAGTTGAGCTTATCAGTTTCCGTCTGTCGATTCCGCGCGCGTTGCGTTTTGGTGTAAAATGGCTAATAATAACTATTAATAAATAAAAGTCGCAATATAAGAAATAATTTTCTTTGTTATTTAATTTTAACATCAATACACTCATCCTCTTGCAGATTTAATTCATTTGGAGTATTTTTACCTGTAAGAAAATAGAAAAAATATATCATAGGTAGGTACTTATTAGGTTTTTCAAAACTAATATTGTATTGTAATATTGTAAATCATTGTTGTTAAACCAATATTTGCTATGTGTAATAAGAAAAAGTTTAACACGGTAATTAATATGTGTGCGTGTGAGAGTTGCCTAAGTCATAATCATATTTTATTTGATGCTAGTATCAGCGTACCGTATCTTCTCTTTTTGTTTTAAACTAAGGCTGTTACACACCATATTTTTAAGCCACCTCTGTTCACCATTATAATGCTTAAGATTCACAGCAGACTTTGTATTCGAAAATCAGTTATTAAGATAAATTAGTTACAATGATTGAAATCTCTTTAAAGTGCACATAGCAGACATTGGTTTGACAACTACGAAATGCAACATTCACTTTCTGTGATGCAAATAGGGATAAGCTTAGATTAAAACAAAAAGGAAAGATACGTCACTCGCGGCTGAAAAGTGATCCGCTTAAATTGTGGTGCATAACCATAATTCGCTTAGTCATAATTGGACATTCAAACACGCTGCATGTGCACTCAATATAACAATATTGCGTATATTCTGTGTTATGAAGATAAAACCATGCCTTCGATGCGTTTATAAAGAACACAAATAGTTCAAAATCAAATAACAAATGCCCCGGCAACACTTTTTATTCGTGAAACTGTAAAAACATTTTTTCTCAAAAATACGGTTTGTCGAGAATGTTATTTACGTAATCGTCATTTTTTATCAAAAAAAAGGACAACAATACGCTGCGTTGAAGCGTATAGTTCTGTCTCGCTCGCTCGATTGAATGTTTATATTATACAGACGTGTGCGGATGTGAGAGTTGCTTATGTAGTTGCGTCGGATCATATTTTATTTGATGCTAGTATGAGCCTACCATATCTTTTTGTTTTAATCGAAGTGGATAAGCTACTGAAATGAATTTTGGTATGAAGATAACGTTGAACAAAACCACTTTTGCTGTGAAAATATAATTTGAATGGGTCGAAACAGCATAGGTATGACATGTTTGGAGATAAATTATTATCCTGTTTAAACTGAAAAAACATATTTCTGAGTATAAACATTTTTAAAGCTTTGATCTTTTATTTGAATCGTGTACACAAGTCATCATGCCAAGTTTGATGCTGTCACTGAAATTATTGCTTCAGTATGCCAAATTGTTAAATGTCAAACAATTCTAGTTCAATTAACTATCAGTAGTAGGGGAGCGCAAGGCGTGATTTTGGGATAAACCTTGTAGCTTGTGAAGCTCTCCCTCCATACCCCCGAAGTAGGTTTGAACATCTATGGCAGCATAGCAAATGTTAACAATCATCCATGACTTTTGGTTGCAACCAAATCATCAAACTTTTTAATAGGAGCTCCTGGAGAGTTCACATAAAATCCCTTCTCAATGTCAAACACCTCTAACTTTTGTTTTTAATTTTTTCTACCCCTTTATACCGTCATCCCTGTGCCATGCAAACCTACAGATTAATATTTTTCCATAATCAGAAATGTTATGGTAATCATCCAGTAGCTCCCGTTACCATACATATAATGCAACCAGCAATATATGTAATCTAAATGTTATTATTTCATTATTAAGAAAGTCAATAGTTAAGTATATAATATTTTTCATTTGCAAAATTGAAATAATTAGGGCCTGTTTCACATTCGCTGCCTAAAGTTCCAAGTAGGCTAAACTGCTCAGTAAAGAACAGGGACATTGAATTTTTTTAGAAAAGTTTAAATTGTGCAAGCAATTGTACTCTGTCAACGTCAAAATCAGCATGAGCAGATAAGTTCTAAGTTCTTATTGAGAACTTTACTCAGAGATTATGAAACAGGCTCTTAGTGTTATTTTTTACTTACCAGATATAGGATCACCATCAAATTCAAATTTCAATCTGTCTATCGTTGTTTCTAGATACTCGGTACATTTCATCATAGCTATAGATAATTTCTCATCCATACCGACCACAGTCTCAAAAAGTTTTTTAACATTTTGGCACTGGAATTTAATTCTTATACCATCTGTTTTTAAATTGCTCTTAGTATTTTTATTAACCAATAATTTTGATACACTCTGTTTGATGATTCCGCCGTCTATAAACTTTGCTATATTGTAGTCAATAGAATCTGGTGTATCGTCAGGCTTCAATATCCTATCTTTGAAAGTAAAAAATAGTTGTTCGTTGCTCACACCCTCTTTCTTAGAGAAGTAATCAAATATCTGAGTTAACTTCTGAAAGCGTCTTATCATGAACTTGAAGTATTCCGAACTTTGCCAGTAAACTTTCACAGACATTTCTTCATTTTCGTCCAGTTCGTCATCCTCGATTAAGACAACGTCACTGCACTTTGAGCTTGTGCTGAATAATGCTTGACTGTCTGACTGGTCAGGGTATTCGTGTGTGTTACCTACACTGTATATTGGTAAGTCGTACGAGATAGAACTAGTTCGGTTTGTGGGATTGGTAGGCAACCACATTCCTCTACTTCTCCTATTCCTGCCTCTGCTCTTACCTCTTCCTCTTCCGCGATTGCTTTGATTATTACACTGTTCCGTATTTACAACATTAGCATTAGTAACTACATTGGAATTGACGGTTTTTCTCCGTGATTGCTTTTTCGGAGCCTCTTCTGCTATACTGACATTTGAGGAGTTCCTTTTGGCGGCAGCACGAGTCGTTCTTTTCGAAGACGAAGCTAACAAAGTATCAATCAAAACATCTTCGGAATCATTGTCGACGCTTACTTCACCACAAGCAATTACCTCTGAAGATGCCGTTGGAGCTGTCTCCGATGGGGTTCTAGCGTATTTGCTCAGGAGCTCGTCCAATTCAGCAGATTCGTTAAGAAGATTCGTAGTGTCTATCTTATCTTCTGTGTATTTGTTCTTCATTGCTTGTAGCTTTTGCGCTACGTTTCCGTAGCAGTCGTCTTCCGAATCCGATGAATCCATACTTAGTTAATTATTTGATGTATTATCTAGACAATAAATAACATAAATACAATACAAAATTACACAAAACTGGAAAAGAATGCGAGTTATTCGTAAACATCGAATAAAGTAAACGAACTAGGCATGCGTCCGATATGTCAAAACGAATCCAAAATCCGATTTCAAACACAAATCGATACCGAACGATTTCTCAACAAGAAAATCCGATTTCAGAAATCTAACCGAACCAAAACGCTAGCGATTTAATACCACCACAAGTATCCAAATGTAAATCGGATTCGAAATTCGTGCTTTCGTTTTCTGAAGTCCGATTTCGTGCTCGGAAGTCCGATTTCGGTTTGCTGTTTACGGAAATCTATTGTTCTTCTCTAAGGCGGGATTATTTATTACTGAAAAAGATGTCGTCTAAAAACATCAAAAGTCGAGCAACTAACATTTTTTTGAACGCTAACCTGAAGTAATTAGGTTTGATTTTGTAAATGGTTTGAAAAATAATAAAAACAAACAGAAAAACAAAAAAAAATACTAAAAAAATATGTAAAAAGAAATCATTGTATATAAGCCGATTTTTAAATGCGCCGCAAAAGTTTTACTTTTATCCGTAAAGATAACTTTTCTGCTAGTCCTAAGCCACAGAATATATACTCTTGCCTAAGCCTAGATTTAAAGCATAAAGGAAAATCGCGCAAATCTACGAGTATCATTGCTTCGTACAATTAATTGTTTGTGATTGTCGTTAGCTAATAAAACCAAATCATAACACAAACCAGTGAATTGGCTAAGTTCGGCACATCTGAAATCGAATATCTAAAAACGGATTTTAAAATCGATTTTGAAATCTGAAATCCGATAAATATCCGTTTGCGTTCAAAACCAAAAACGCCCATGTCTAAAACGAACGCACACTTTTTTTTAAGTTTCTCTCGTTTTAGGGAAGGCAAAGGGAACAATACTCATACAGCCTATGTCGATGTGACGCATTCTAATGTTTCTTTGACTGTTTGGCACGAAATGTATCGAGTTGGCTTTTTCGATAAGCTTCTGTGAGGTAGTAAACACTACAATAAAGTTCTCAACCCCACTTGACCAGTATAGTGTATATTTTAAAGATTCCACTAATTCTTTAGTTGCGCAGACTATTGTAACACAAAAACACACAAATTTTATTTCACAATATCCACTATGAACGAATTTAAGAATAATTAAAATAAGACGCCAACCGCACTCGATGAAATCCCGCCAAAAACTCCACGCAAAAATCATTTTATAATGTATTCATGACCTGGATACAGAGTCCTCCAGTCGGATATATTGTGAGTTACAAAATATTTTAAAACGAGCAAGAATTGCAATACATAAAATTACATTAGTTTTTTTTATAGTAAAAACTAGTTTTATTTAATGAGTGATGTGCGTGAAAACCTAAGAAACAAATATTTTTTTATATTCTCAAATATTTGGTATAAACGCTATAATTCTTTAAGTTACATTTTAATGTAATTACAATCTAAGCAGTACACAAATCAATAAAAATAAAAATATTTGCACTTACTAAAATATTTATGTTATCCTTATACTAAATATTCTGTTTAAATTTTCTATAAATCAGTGCTGAAAAATTTTAAAATCCGGTAATTGGGAGAAATCAGGAGATTTTTCGGCAAAATAAAACAACAGTATTTTATGGTCCTAATTAAAATAAATTATTTAAAACATAATAAGGTTAAGTGATTTCTAATCATTTATATTCTTACCACTTCTTACTTAGTATTTTGGAAAAAAAAATTTGGGAATATTAAAATTATAACTTAGATAAATGAGTCTTAGAGCATGGTATGATCACTATAACTTCCTTGGACACGATCTTGAAATCAATTTCGAACTGGCTGTCTCGCTGTCTGTCAATAATAATGTAATTCGACAGCTGACAGCAAAATCATTTCGACGCGGAGTTGTTTTTTTTAAATCGTAACGTGATATTCGATCTTCCGAAAATTATATCTTGCTTCAAACTCAGGATGTCTTTACTGAATTCTACCATAAGACCGTTGTTCGTTCGAGGAATTTGCACTACAAAGGCTTTGTGCGAGCCACGGTCTTTGATCAAAATGAAAAAACTACAGGCAGAGTTTCAGTGTGAAGATGGTAGACCGATATGGCTGAAGGCTGGTTTCTGTGATCGCATACTGTACGCTACCACTATAATCTTGTGCTACACTGGAGTCCTGATGGTACTAGGGACTATCTACGACCACGCCAAACCACCTTCGTGGAAAAACAAACCGTGTTGAGTGTAGATTGACTTGATTTTAGAATAAATTGTATTGAGAACTTAGGATTTGGTGTTTCAATTTCATTGTATTTTAGGGTTCCGTACCTCAAAAGGAATTAACAACTCTTATAAGATTACTTTGTTTCTTGGTGTCTGTCAAGACAAGACCCTTTTGTCAGGAACTCAGGTTTACGGTCCCATAAAGCTATGTAAAAAATAAATAGGGTCGGTGCCAGCGTTGCCAGACGTCCCGATTTTTTAATCAAAATTAAATGTCCCGCGCAGGACAGGCTCAATCCCGCTTTTCGGGAATAACTCGACCGTGCGTGCAGCGTACAGAGAAAGCGCGGGTGGGTGGCACAGATAAGTGTGAACTCTCAAACAAAGACAACTATTTTACCATAGCGTAAATCTGATTTAAAATATCATATTTTTATTAAAATACATTTTCTATGGATATTTTTACTAGGTACCTGTCTATTGTCACGTACCTAAACGTAATTTGATCTCAAATAAAAAGATAAATGTTCAAAAACTTTTGACTATATACGTTTATTTTCTATGTCCCGCTTTCGATGAAAGAATCTCGCTTTTTTCACTCAAGAAGTTCCTGAATGAAGTTGGCAAATAAAATTCTGGCAACGACACCATTCACCTCGGTAAAAAAATATTCCATCGGTTCCCGGTAGCCCCGACCCCGTCTCTTAAGGGGTTAGATGGCACAGCACAGATCAAGTACATCATTTAACCCGGCGTGTTTTTTTAACGGGGCGGTTAGCAGAGCTCGTTAAGAATTCTATTGTTTTTTTTTACAAACGTATTCCCTGGACATTTTTGTGGTGTTAATCTTTAAAATTTTTGTGTGATCGCGGGCCGCATTTCATCCATTTGAGGGACGGAGGGGGCCCGCGGACCGTAGTTTGCCATTACTGCGCTAGGGCCAAATCTTTAGCTAGGGCAATGTAACTCAAAAGAAGGTATCAAATAATAATTATATACCATTTAAGAAGAAATGGCAACTTCCAATATTTTTATTTTTTAAACATCTAACTGCTAGATTTTTAAATCTAGTTTCTTTTTCTTTATTTTTAAGCATTTAAGTGCTAAATGTTTAAATCTAAAGAAAATGTTACTAGAAAAATATCCACGCGGACCAGGCAGCAGGCGGGACTCGAACCAGAATTAATTAATTTTTTTTCATACAAATGTTTAACACTTGTAAAAGGTTTTGAAATTGTGGGTTACTTACAATGCGGAGATGGCACTGCCTTGCAGCCTAGGAAAAACTATAGAAAATTCGACACAGCCATTAAGGCCGCGGCAGCATAATGTGCATCCGCACGGATAACGGAGTGTGCAGGTTCGAGTCCCGTCTGCTGCCAGGGCTGCGTGGATTTTTTCTAGTATAATTATCTTTCGATTGATTATTTTCAGTGTATTTAAATCTATAGTAGAAAAGAGCTTGAGGGTGTTTTACGCAAGCGTATTTCTTGTTAACTGTCTTCCGGCGAAATGAGAATCCGACCAAGTGTGAACAATACCCTGAAAATTTGTACAGAACCCTTGATGAGAGAGTCATTAACTCGCACTTGTCCGTTTTTTTACTACTACAAATCAATAATGTTTTTTATTGCAGTGTGGTAGCATCATCATCATCACCAGTAGTATGTGGCGAATTGGAGCTCAAGGGAAGTTACCTCCCGTTTAACACACCACAAATCCAATTGTCATGTTTCTTAACGTTTTCAGGGTTCACGTACTTGACGAACTTAAATAAATATATATTTCCAACACACACCAATTAGCCTAGCCCCAAAACTAAGCACTGTAAGGCTTGTGTTATGGAATACTAGGGTAACGAAAAGAAAACATATATATAATTATATTTATATAGAAAACCATGACTAACAATCCATGAATGGGCTACAAATGCTCGTATTCATAACACAAACAACTTCACCCACCGGGATTCGAACCCGGGATCTCTCAAGTCGGCGACACCATGAAAACCGGCGTACAAACCACTCGGCCTCGGAGATCGTCATAACGTTAATATATGTTCAAGAAAAAAGACTAAATTAAACGAAATATAAAATCTTATTAATTTATTAGTGCTGTAAGGCCATACATCCCAAGTACATACTTGTACCTGCACTCACCGAAATGCAATATAGTGCTTAAAACCTAACACAACAGAGTTCAAATTACAAAGACAATTTTGTGAAAATTAAATAATACTTTGTGATAATTATTAAAACATACATATTATAAAACAAATTCATAAGAACTCGTTAGCAAAAATAACATTAGGTTATCTCAAGTACAATACAGATAGTTGCATTTCATATAAAAGCTAGCATTTATTTTAAATAATATAAAAAGCAAGCATTAAAATCGTTTTATAGGTTTGTAATGCACCTTTCTGTATCATGTTAAATTGACCTATTTACATACAGAGTAGTATTGAGTTTTGATAAGAAAACATTTTATATTAAACAAAGAATTAAGAACAATTATTATGGATCCAGTCCTAGAAAATAATTGTTTAGTCCAGTGGTTGTCAATCTGCAATATGAGTGTTAAACAATTTTTATTCAATAGCGAGAAACTAAATTTATAGCTACGTAATTATTAAGTCGCAAATTATGTACTTAAAAAACACCACAATTCAATGTGGAGTTAAAGAAGCTAACTTCATTCCGGTAATTCCATTCTCGCAAACATTCGCAGCTATCTTCAGAGTAGCAATAATGCTGGTATGATGTACAGAAAACAACGGAGTATTATAAACATTGCCACAAAAATTCGGAAGTTTGTCAATAGATTTTCGACTTTATTTGGTCAAGTGAGGGTTTAAAATCAGAGTTTTGTATAACATAATTTGCAAATATACATACAGATCTAATATTTGGCTCATCTCACGAATTAATAATTAGTTGATTTGTAAACTCGATGTATTTTTGATATAAAATATCCCATTTAGTCAACTGGCCCATCATTTGGCCAATCTGTACTCTCTGTGCCTGGGAGTTAACACATCACATTTGGAATTGTACTTAGAAAATGTTTTTTTAACGAAATAATTATGCAAAGACTACACTAGCGCACTGGTGTTTTTTTTAGAAAAAACCATCTTCCTGCAAAATGGCTGGCCTGTTTTTGGCCTGTTCACCAGACTCGCGTGATTTCATTTGGGCACCAAATTAACACTACGTAAAGATTAGCATAATTGAATTGTATATCATTTGAAAAATACTGGTACATTTTCGTCGTTTTCTGTACACAATAAGTATTATAGTTTTAGCGCTGATTATATTGAGAACTTTCAATAAGTTAGTCTATGGAGTCTGCTGGGGAGCGAACATCGTCAATTTTGAGTATCATTTTGACAAGTTGTGTGGCCAAAGCGATCTGTTGTTTCTTTGAGTGCAAAGATTCTATGACATTCATTACTTTCATGTCGTTTGAACCTGAAACAAAATAAATACTAGGTATTATATAATAATTAGATTAGAATATTAAAGTGTCGATAAACTGCTTACACTGTCCTACTTTCCTTATAAACTAATATTATAAACACGAAAGTTTGTTTGGATGTATAATATGTGTACGGCTGAATGATGAAATTTGTTATATTCATATATAATTTAGTACCAAGATTTTATTGCAATCCAATAAGCTGTTTTTGATATTGAATATTATTTCATAATATTATTATTTTACCCTAACATAGTTTTAATTTTTATTTAGTTTTAGTGTAGTTTTAGTATAATGTAACTTGCAATTTAATCAATAAATTATCTATGTATATCTTGTATTGTGATAACCAAATTTTGTAACATACAATTCAATATCAAAAAGTACCAAGATTGACACATAGGTTATTTTTGAAGTTTTACTTCTTTAGGCGCGTTATGAAAAAATGATGAGAGTGAAATTTTAAGATGCGCGCGCATCACTGTAACACAAAATTTTATGTGTTTACCGCACATTAAGAAAATGTACCAACAAAATAGAAATAGAATCTCTTTTTAGTGGGTGCTAACGACTGCATTGTGAAGGCCTATCAAAAGTATTTATTAATCTGGAACAACGGAACCAAAGCGCGATTCAGGAGACTACAGCGCCATCTCTTGACCATTGGTGTAGTAGAACCAAAAACCACATCTTTATTTTTTGTTATAAAGTAACAGTTTTAGGTATTCATATTTATAATATTTATCCACATGTTTCTAGTTTGTATATTCGGAATACGTGTTTGAGTTTCATACAAGTGCAAATCACATATGTTCTAATAAATTATATTCAGTAGCGATTTTAATTGAATATTTTGATTATTTATTTTTTCAAATTAAAACTGAACTTTATTGACTGTGTCCTTTTCCAGACTTTTTATTAATTTATTGTAATTAATTATTTGCATGCAATTAAAAACTAATTTTAAACGATGCCAAAGAAGGATAACTTCTCACGCGCCTACATAAGTACACGCACCCATTTTTTTATCAAAAGGTTCCTTTGTGTTTCTCAAAAAAAAAACTACAATGCGGACGAATACCTGTGCACCCACTAGTATTATAAATGCGAATGTGTGTCTGTCTGTTACCTCTTCTTCACTTAAACTGCTGAACCGATCGAGATGAAATTTGTTTGAGTCCCAGCAAAGGTCATAATGGGCTATTTGATAGTATGGAAACTAGAATACTTTTCAAATAATCATTAATTAGAAACGATTTTTATGTTATATAGTCATGTGACCGAAAGCGTCTGGGATTGGCAGACTAAAATGACGTCACACACTAGTAAACTTTCTGTCAAAGTGACATAACATTGTATCGTTTGACGTTTTAAGTTTGCAGTTGTGTTAAATCACATGCTAGGGTAACGCCATATATGTTCTGAGAAATGTTTTCGCGGCATAATGATATTAAAATTTTTGATTTAGTTTTTTACTGTAAATACACAACAGAGTGTTTATTATTCACTTATTATGGACTCCAGAAACATGAGTAAATAACGTGAAATCGTTTTCTAAAACTTGCCAAATACCCTATTATCTCCTACTTCTGGTATAAACCAGAAATCGTCAATTTACAGGGTGGAAGTTTGTATGGGAAATAAATTGAACTACACAGACAAAGTCACAGGCATCTATTAGTCATAAGGTTTAACATAGAAAATTATAAAAGGCTTACCTTTGCCCATGCAGTCTATGCCAAGATTCGGATTGTTCTCGGCTACCTGTCTTGCCTTCACTTCGGACAGGGAATCAATCGGTGACAAACCGCTGTAAAACAGATTATCATATCAGTCAATAATAGATGTGAATAAGTTAGAAATACCTGAAAAATTCCCAAAACAAAAAATGTTTATTTCCAAACAGTACTAAGCAAAGTTTATTCTTTAGAAACTTGGTACAAACAAAAAACTAATGTATAAGTATACATATACAACCAGGACTTAAAAACAAATATTTGTGCTAACACAAATAAATATTCTGACCGGGGTTTGAATCTAGGACCACAAAAATATCAGTAGTATAAATATACTATGGTAGATACCATGGTAACTGTATTTATACTGTATGACACAGCAATCAATATGTGAGTTGAATTTATATTGGTAGCAATATGATTTTTTGTACATGTTGCTACTTCTGTTCAACTCTGATAAATTTCTTGCGCCCATTTATCTCATTGGCTTAAATGCCCTAAATCCTGTTGTGGCAGGAAAAAATATTGGACGATCCAAAAGAGCTTTCAATAAGTCAATTTGAATCACACTAATATTATTCAGGCGAAAGTTTGTCTTCACGTTTAAATGGCTGGAGCGGTTTTAATAAAATTTGGTATGGAATTAGCTGACACCCTGGATAGGCTACGTTTTACTGTGACAAAATATCACTAATAAACCGCGGGACACAGCTATTGAAGTATAATTTTATATCTAATTTTATTGTAATTTGTTATTTGATGGGTATTAGTCATTTTTCATAACAGCAATATGGTACCTATCTGATGCCGCTTCCTATATACTAAATATAGAGTTAACTATAAAATTTACTGTAACCATATATCTAATTATCTATATGCTAAATGATGTAATGGAAGGTAACTTCAGAAGTATCACTGAAGTCATTTTTCAACTTGACGACTGTGTATATAATAATACAGGGAGAAAAAGCAGCCCTTGCTGAGTTTCTTGCCAGTTCCTTTCAGTACAAGGTCTCCCGCTGTAGTTTTGCGAAGCGATGGCGTAGCTTCTTGACCTTCACAAGTGCTTGTAACAGCCTAGACTTAATAAATGAGTTTGAGTTTATCATTTTAACTCACCTGTTCTCTGCCAAAGCGAGGGGCACAGCTTCCAATGCGTCGGCGAATCCTCTATAAGAGTATTGTTCTAGTGATGACAGTTTGTCAGCTGCCCTAGCGACTGCTAAAGAACAAGACACTTCTGCCGCTCCACCGCCATAGACAACGCGGGAATCCTGTTAAAAATCATCACATTAATAGGCTGATGATAATATGCTATTAATTTTGACGATCTCCGTGGCTGAGGGGTTTGTACGCCGGGTTTCATGATGTCGGCGACTCGAGAGGTCCCTCCCGGGTTCGAATCCCGGTGGGGGTAGATGTTTGTGTGATGAATACGAGCATTTTTACTCCAGTCATGGATGTTTCATATAGGCTTACAGTATGATGTGTAACATTTGAAACCTCACCTTATATTACTAAAAAAAGAAATAAAACTTACTACAAAAGGAATAGCCATTTGAACATTATGTTCTAAAATCAAATCAAATAGCGCGCGCTTTCGCGACTTCCTGTTACACACTCCGTCCCATTTCACGAAATCACTCTAACAAATTGCAGGAAAGCGAGAGGAAAGATGTTACACATCAATAAAATATATATATATATATATATAAATAAAGCACGCAGCCTCACCTGCACCAAACTGCGCACAATGCACAGTGCGTCATGCACGGAACGCTTAGCCTCCTCCACTATCATTCGGTTCCCGCCCCTCATTAATACGGTGACGGCCCGAGAGTTGGAGCATTGCTCGATGACCAACATTTCGTCTTTGTTCGTGCCAAACGCTGTGGATGGAAGAAATAGAGAAAAACTATTTATACTCTTAATTAACAAAGGTTGGCTTATCTCTAAAAGAGTACATTTCGGTCGATTAGCTGATGCACTTTTGTATGTAACAGCCGACTTTTTTTCGCGATTTCAGCGTGGTCCCATAATAAAAGTTGTTCCTGTTGATGGGTAGAATCCCCCCCTAAGAGGTTTTTGGTGTTTTAAAATTAACCCTGTAGAGAATGACAAGGATACATTGTTCTCAAAAAGAATTTTAGTTAGAAGGATACATGTCAAAATCGACACCAACAAAAAATAGATAGAATCAATTCACTTACTCAACTCTCTGACCAATCCAGCACTACCCAGCTTATCCTTAGTGAGTTCTTCGAACCGTGGTACAATTCTACCACCAGTGGCTATGGCAATTAGTTCCATTTCCGGACCGCCCACCCATCGCACGGCCGGCAGACCGGAAGACAGCAAGAGGTGATTAGCTTCGTCGTCGAAACCCCATTGACAAATGGCCAGAGTTGCTCCAGCGTCCTAAATAAAAAAAATACAAATTCAATATCATTCATTCGGACTGTCTCAGACTGTTACAAACACTCGTGATTGTGAATGTCGAGAAGATACACCATCGGTTCGCAAATCTATGGCAAAAAGAAGCGATTGTATTAAATAATGGTTTCTCATAAAAGTATCTCCCTTCAAAATTATTTTTTACGACAAAAGGTGAAATTGATTTTCCTGTTGATATAAGCCTTAGAAATTATGATTTATTCTCACCTTAACTTGTTTCACCATCTGCAGGAACTTGTCTTGCTCGTACTGCCTCAGTTCCCTGTATTCAACGGCCGAGCCGACTTGAAGCTTATGCTTGGTCTTCGGCTTTGGTGGCTCGAACGGGCAAGTGAGGATCGCTAGTTTCACATCCTGTAAAAATTATAAACATAAGAGAAATATCTATTTGAAATATCCTTATACTCAAATACGAAATGTTTTATGGTTACTGTTTGATAAGTTATACAAGATGGTACAACAATAAGTAGTAATATAATAAATTAATGAAAGTTTGTATGTTTGTTATTAAAAAACGGCTGAACGGATTTGGATGAAATTTGGCAGACATATACTTTATTACCTGGACTGAAAATATGTTTTTTTTTATCCTATATCTCTTACAAAAAATGCAACTGCTAACATAACCTAACCATTTGGTTTGCAATTGTACTTTTCTTGGTCATCATTTGAACATTTACCTCTTTAAATTGTGGTCAATTTGTTCAGCTATGAGCAAATGCATAGAGGAATTATTGGCCAATTGAAATAATCCTATTAATATTATAAATGTGAAAGTGCAAAAAACTACTGTGCTGATTTTGATTTCGATAAAATTTGGTATGCATATAGTTTATGACATAGATTAAGACATAAGGCACTTCCTGGAAACAAGACAGGTTCCTGTTGGTGTCTGAAAAACTAAAGTTAACGCAGACAGTAGGTGGTCGCTAGTATTAAACAAAAAAACTTAAACGAACATGAAATTAACCAACCTTCAACACTTTAGGCATCTGCGGGTGGCTCATGGTCTTGTCTATGACCACTCCACGGACGAGCATAGAGTCCTCCATGCGACCGCCCACTTTACCTTCCACTTTTATCAATTCGAAGTTAACATCCCGCTTCTCTAAGTCTGCTACTGATAATACAGCCTGCAACAAAAAAACATGGTATTGATAGAATTATTTATTTATTTCACGTCTAGACATGACTCTCTCTTATTTCCGTTAGGAAAAACAAGGAATGTGTTTATCACATTCCTAAAGTACGATTTTTAGAAGGAATTATTAGAAAACAGTGTAATTTGAATTTCTCTACCCATTTTATAGTAGCATATCAAGTAAAAGACTTATTAATAACCAAAATCACTTTTTTAGCCTCCAACATAATATTAAATTATAAGCAAAAGTAAATGAATCCTGACTATGATTTCCACCATTTAGCTCTTATACAATCAACACAACATTGTTTTCTACAAAGCCATTCTGGAATTCTCATATAAATTGTTTACACAAAGAAAATATACTCACATCAACTGCAATCTCTGCCATTAACCGGTGGCATTTCACCACGACTTTGCTGCCCAATGTTGTCATGGCAACCTTGATGAGGTTCTCCCTTGTATCCTTGTTTACGGGAAAGGCTTCGCTGATAGAGTCCAAATGGGCTAACGCCATAGCAGCTGCCATTTCAAAGCCATCAGCTATACGGATTGGATGGATACCTTTGTCGAGCAAATTGGATGCCTGTTCTAGCAATGCACCTGAGAGAGAAAGAAAGTTGTTTATTTAACCCCTGAGTATAACAGCAAAGGTTACTTATTTTCTGCAGTTTTAAAATGACGTAATGAGCAGAGTCACAAAATGTTACGTCATCAACAATGCAATTATCAACTGTTTTTGATTTTTGTTTACTTTAAATCATGATTTTCAGCAGATAGGCCATAGATCATAGATAGGCCTTTAAGCAAGCCTTTCATTTTGTCCTACATTTAGTTTTCCTCCTCTTAATATTTTTATATCATTCTTTTACAAATTTGGAATCAATAAATATAGAAAACAATAATTTAAAATTGATCACAAAATGATTTTTACCAGTTCAGCAAAGTAACTTCATACACTGGATTGCTTTTGGAAATTATTTTTCTACACAGCACAAATGTCAAGCAACAACATAACTGAAGTATCTTTTTATTATATCATTAATCCTTTTCAGTGATGTTTTCTTTTGCTTTTATTAAAATAGTATGGATAAAAAACCTAAGAAACAAATCAATAGCTTTTTTCATTGCATAATTGTGATAATTACCAGCCAAAACGACAACCCCAGTGGTACCATCACCAATCTCATCATCCTGACTCTGAGCAAGCTGCACCATTAGCTTGCCGATTTGATGCTCCACATCCATGAGTTTCATGATTGTAGCACCATCATTGGTGACTGTCACTTCACCATCTGCCGACACCATCATCTTGTCTAAGCCACGAGGGCCAAGAGATGTGCGTAGGATGCCAGCTATCTGACGAGCTGCTTGAATGTGCGACTGAAATAGAGAAAATTTTTGATGACAGTTTCAGACAATAATATAAAGGCTGATATGTTTTATTGTATTTGACAAGGATAAGAAACAGAAATACAATGACGTAAAGGATTCAAACATTAATTAAAAATAATGATTGCATCTAAACATCAACTTATATTTTTGTTTATGAACAGTAATTAGATTCATCAAGTATTGGTTAGATTGAGTAAGTAAACTATTTGTGCAATATCTTTTAGTCTCTTGTAATAATACAACAAGAACTGACATAGCCTCAATGTCTTAATGTAAAATTAAGAAAAAAAAACAATGAATTAATTATCTCCTAATAAAAAATGAGGATCATCTACAGTTCTGGAAAAACAAAGAAGTACTAATAGGATGCACATATTTATAGTATTTAAATAACTTTAACAGAGCTAGAGTTATGAGCATAGTAGTAATTCTTGCCTGTAAATAAAATTTAATTAAACATGAAGTATACAAAACAATAACTTTTTCAGCAGCACAGTAGGTGGAGGTATATAGGTACTTAGTCTGTACTTTATCATGTGACTCAGTAGAATCATCTGTCACAAAAAACTGTAAATAATAAATGAAAATGTCGGTATTCCTTACATTAATATGTACTGATGCATAGCTTAAAAGACAAATTTTAGAAATTTCGTATAATTTACGGTTTTTAATTACAATCTTTGTTATATTTTATCATTTTAGTACTTGCAGTACCAACATTCAAGTGAAAGGTTACATATTTTTACTTAATCCATTTTGATAAGTATATTGTTAATAAGTAATTAGTGTGGTAAACACCAAATCCGTATGTAGGTAAATATGATGATATATTTAAGAAAAACACACTGAAAAAGGTATTTTTCTTTACCTTCAAGGCATCTGTACCGGTAAGCCGTTTCTGTCTTTCTTGATCCCTCAAAATTATAAATGGACGCCCATACTCATCAAAGGCTACAGTTCCTGGGAACATAGCCATTTTCTAAACTAAAAACACAACACAATTTTAAGATGGAAGTTGATTTCCTCGGAATCACCTATTTTATGAAAACAATGGACAACCCGAAAAGAAAAAAACTTCACTGACTGACAGTGACACTGACAGGCGGAGGTGACAGTCAGACTGACATATACAGATTCTGTTCGATTTTCTGTATTTGTAAGGCTAAGGATTTAGTTTCTTTAGGTCTACTATTGTCCTCCAAAAAGACATGCCTACCTACAGCTTATGTTTTGCACGAATGAGGGTAAATAGTCCATAGAAGCTCCGCAAAGAAGAGTTGTACACACAGTACAGGGTAGCTAAGCTGTGTAGCTGACTTTGGACTGAGCGGTACTGTATGCGTATTAACTCCTTAGTAGGTTTTGGGTACTGTTATATGGAGATGTACGGAGTGGAGTTGAGTAGATTGGATCTGTGAATACATTTTACTTGAATACACGTAAATTCGTATAGCTATCTACGTATAGACATAGAATAAGTCATTCATACATAAAAATAGTTTCTGGCATATTATCTGAACTTAAAACTAAAAACATAATTCTCTCCTTTTCATTCTGTATAAAGTATGACAAGGATGCACTGTTGTCTTAAGTTTAGGTTTGGAGAATCATGCCAGAATCGACGCCAATGTTAATATTTACGTAAGTGCATTTGTTTATTAAATATAACTCTAATAAACTAGACTGAATATATCCTTGAGGCAGTTTTAGACCTTTTCTATGCCAGTACTTCACTTGGATAGTTAAATTTGCTATTTGTAAACTTGCCGTCAGTTTTTTCTTTTTATTCCTAATAAAGCATGATAAGGACAGACTGTTGTCAATATCACAATTAGCAAATATGAATAACCAAGTAAAGTGACGGCATTACTGATCGGTGACGGTATTCATCAATCAAAAACTACTGAATGGATTTGGATGAATTTTGGTACGCGTATAGTTCATAACCTGGATTAAGACAGAATCCTATTTGTCCCAGAAAAAATCTCCAAAAAATTCAGGATAATGCAGTCCAAGTCGCAGGTCACTAGTTCTTAACAATTCAGTCATGGGAAATGCAATGTCAAATTAAAATCATAGGAGTCAAACAATGAATCATATTTTAAATTAAATATAAATAAACCGAATAAATATAATAAAATCGATCTGAGTGGCGTGCAATTGGAGAGGCCTATGTCCAGCAGTGGACTAGGATAGGCTGTTGATGATGATGATGATGATGATGATGATAAATAAACCTTTTTTTTTCCTCTACCGATTAAATTACCTACACTTTATATAATTTTAACCTGTGTTGTCCTTGCGTGTGTTATTCTTTCAGAAGAACAATAATAAAAGCTCAAGGAAGAAGGGTTATTCGGATAAAATATAAAATTCTTTACTTGTTAAATACCGAGCAATCTCTCTCTTATCGTGTCTCTCTCACTACGGGATATTGGCGAAATTTCTGTGTGAAAAGGAAACAGCCACAGAACAAAAAAAAAAAATATTTTAAATAAATGTATTTTCAAGTGGAGCTTTCCATTTGGAATAACTAAACTTAAGTCTTTACAATAATTTTATGTCTAGTCAACATATTGATAGCGTATTTGCTAGCATAGGTACTTAAGACACTTGCCAAGGTCCAACTCAGTCACCACATTTAACGAGCGAAAGTCTACTACAAAGACTTCTTCGCTCGTTTACGCTGCTATATATCAAATCTTTCAAAAGCCAATGCTTTTCCTTCCTCTTCATACTCTTCTTTAGTCATACAGAATGAATAAAAGTCTGGGTCCCTGAAAATATGTTTTCCTCCTTCCCAAGCATAGGTCAAAGGATCATCTGGCAAATAGACATTAACATCAAAGTGATCCAGAGCAAAGGAGCGGACATCATTATATACTCTATCCCTAAATCCAGGGAACAAAGTGTTGCCTCCGTACAATACAATATTTTCTAACAGACTCTCCATATTTTCCTCCGGGCATGCATTAATAGAATGCATTACAGCTTCAGGTATACCCATTTGTGGTATACCAACATCTGAAGGATGGAACAGGAGTTCAGGAATGGAGAATCGCTCATTGTTTAGTCTTAGTGTTTGCTGTTCTAAGTCTTCATCAGATTTGACAACATCACGAAGGTACCCTCTTCTGATTGTGGTGTAATCAGGAAGGATATAGTCTTTGACGATTGTATTGGCTGAACCTGTAATTGGAAAAGACAATTAATAGTTTTGTAGAAAAATTGCAATGGATTTAACAAAAATCTAAGAATAGTACCTTCAGCTAGTTCAGAAAGACAAGTGGTCTTACTACAATAAAATTAGACATTGGTGTTAATTCTGGCATGATTCTCTAAACCTAAACTTAAATTTGACGACAGTGTATCCTTGTCATTCTCTTTACTGAATGAAAAGGAGAGACTGATGTTAAATTTAGTTTAAAGTTTAGAGAATCATACCAGAATCGACACCACTGTTTTATAATGTTCTTAAACTCTTAAAGAAAGCTTGTCTAACTTTTTTGTGAAAATAAGGTAAAGATCTAAATTTTTAGGAAAACTCCTCCTCCTCCTCACCTTTCTTTTTAGCAATTTCGATATCCTGCATAAAATTTTGGGAAACAAAACAAGAATCTTCTTTGACTTGGTTTATAACATAAGTTTCGTCCATTACATTCAATTGTCTGTACGATAAAATCTCTTTTAAATGATTGGTCAACACCTTACCCCCAACATCAATACGCCTTATGCCTTCCCGATATTTTTTACCTTTTATGTATGGCACAATATATGTGTAACTGTAACCAGAATCGACAACTACTGTACATTCATTATTGTGAGTCTTTCTATGGTAATATTCTGCTAAATCTGTGGCATTTATACGCAAAAGAGTTTGGCACTCGTATTCCTCGAAAAAAATCTCTGTCATAGCTTCCTGTATTGAAGCAAAGTTGAACAATGGCTCAGTCACAATCAGGGGTGTCTCATTGAAATTCACTGGACAGCACTCTTTACTGAACATATAATCCCAGACAGTCTTTTGAGTATCCCAGTTGATTAGAAAACCTTTTTGGAACGGTAGGATATAAAAAAGTCCAGAGGCATCTCTACATTCGTCGATTTGGGAGCCCACAAAAGGACGTCGCCTTTCTGACTTCGCTTTCATAATGCAGTTAGGCACAACCTTTGGCAACTTTGTCGATAGGCCCACCTTCGCTGTATAAGCTCCATTATCAAGAATATAACACGAACTTTCGGACATTTAGTACAAAGTGTAAGGTTACCGGCGATCACAGAAAATGTCTGAAACACACGTTAAATAGTATCTAAAGAAACCCTTTAAAAATGTTTTTTGTGAATTGGTTTTGAAGGGAACATTTCTATATGCTTATTCTTCTTTTTGTTTATTGTCTGCCTTATTTTTAATTTTCCAAATAAAACAATTTTTTATCACAGACCATAGATTAGGTACTAGAGATGTGCCGAGTCAAGCTAACTCGAATACTGACTCGAATACCTAGCAGGTACTCAAGTACTCGAAATATTGTATTCGGATCCACAGTACTCAAGTATAGGTTTTGAGTACTTACGGTATTCGAATACTCAGTTGTTTTACTTGTACAGTGAAGTTAGTAACTTGACGTGTTGATGAGTCAGTGCAGGTTTGAAAGTGTTTATGTTTCCTACTCGGCCGAGTCACTATCTAACGAGACTATCGCTTTAACGAGATGTTAACAAAAGTTTAACTCTCGGTTACCAGTTTAACTGTAGAATTTGTGTAAAATTTTACTATTTTTTAACTAGTGACTTTGTGATAGGATGGCTCCGATGAAAAATCCGTAGTATGGAATTTTAATAATATTTTAACAAATAAAAAAGTGGAGTGCAAAAAGTCTAAAAAACATTATTTTGTTAATTTTGGAAAAACCATAAATTTATTAAAACATTTGAAAAAAAAAACACACCTTTGATTTATACAGCGATAATAGAAAATAAGGAACAAACATACATATATAGACTGGTAAACACTATACCCTGACTGCGCGTCGCGCTCTTGCATTGCGCAGTCGGATAAAAAAGTAAGTAAAATGAAAACGAAAGCTTGGATGGGAGTTCTGATTTGGACTTGGAGTCATTAGACTCATTAGCATCGTCATCTACAATTCAATCAAATGACATTGACCAAGTACCAGCAAAAATCGTAAAAGACTGCTTTTATATATATAGTCGTGAAATGCTATTCAGGTCAACTCGAAGAATATAGACCGGGGATGGAGGAGACTCGAAAAATTACAGGATCCGATTCAAAAAATACTCGAGACCAGAAAAGTATTCGAATACTCGTGCTAGTACTCGAATACCTATCCGAGTCTTCTGACTCGAGTCCTAATTCGAATCTTTTTTTAACGTGTACTAAAATACTCGAATACCAAAAATAACCGACTCGGCACATCACTATTAGGTACTAGTTGCCACAGATTTTTTTTTGTTAAGTTCTCCCGTTTTAGGGAAGGCAAAGGGAACAATGCCCATACAGCCTGATCTTTAATAAAATTAATCTTCTTTTTGTTTCTACATTAGAATGTCAGTGTGACGCATTCTAATGTTTCTTGGAGTGTTTGGCACGAAATGTATCGAGTTGGCTTTTTCGATAAGCTTCTGTAAGGTAGTCAACACTACAATAAAATTCTCACGTCCACTTGACCGGAATAGCATATATTTTAACGATTCCACTAATTCTTCAGTTACGCAGACGGTTGTTACACAAAACCACACCAATTTTATTTCACAATATCCACTATGAACGAATTTACAAATAATTAAAATAAGACGCCAAGCGCACTCGATGAAATCCCGCCAAAAACTCTTTTTTTTTTTGTTCTATGTTCTATTCTTCCCTATTGGGAAAGACAAAAGCAAAGCCATGAAGCCATCGTCTTATTTTTATATTAATCTTCCTTTTTTACATCAGATGTGGATGTGACTAGGATTACCATCCGTCCGGATTAGACCGCACATGTCCGGACTTTTAAGTCAGCTTTCTCGACAAGCTTCTGTGAGGTAGTCAACACTACAATAAAGTTCTGACGTCCACTTGACCGGAATAGCATTTATTTTAAAGATTCCACTAATTATTCAGTTACGCAGATGGTTGTAACACAAAATCACACCAATTTTATTTCACAATATCCACTATGAACGAATTTAAGAATAATTAACTTAAGACGCCAACCGCACTTGATAAAATCCCGACAAAAACTCACATTTAATTTTTTTATGGGAAAGGGAAAGGCAACTCAAATGAAAGACAGAAAAAATAATTTTACCTTTTCAAAGAGAGCAATACCCATACAGCCTTGTCTTTGTTTTATTATACTCTTTTAATAGATAATTCATATTATTTCTAATGTAGATTTGGCTCCCCCCCCACAATGACACTTGCATTTGCACTAAAATATAAAGAAGTATATAAATAAAATACTGAACACAATATTTTAATTTATTATTCTATTATTCTTATAGGGTTATTCTTCAATCTTCAGTAGATAATGGACCTCTACAAACGGCATTGCTTTGAAAAAACAGAGTTTAATAGTCGCCGGTTCGCACAGGTAAAGCAAGCCATACACGCTAGGATATACCTTACAGGTTTACCTGTACAGTTAAACTTGAGTTTAGTAGAGACCATACACGTAGTGGTAAACCTGCACAAACTTTCAATTGAAACCATGACCCCGATCGCTCTAACAATCACCGGACAACTGACGCCTGTGCAGATGACTGCCACACACGCTCAGTTTTACCTGCACAGGTTGCCTTTTCGAGTTGCCTGTACAGGCGTGGAAACCTGCGCAGTTATTAGACATACACGATCCGGTTTACCTGGACAGTTAAACTGTACAGGTAAACCCTTGCGTATATAGCTTGCTCAACGGAAAGGTAGCCATTTTATTTAAGTCTATTGACTTTTATAAAAACCCTTTATTAATTTTTGTCCCTTATTAGGGATCGGTGTTTTTATACACATATTTTCTTACTTAGTTTTTCGATATAATTAGTAAAATGTAACCACTGCATAGATGAAAATTGTATTTACAAGTCAAACAATAAGAATAACAATCCAACTAATAAACTAAATATGTACCAATTACAGCCAAATCCATTCAGAAATTTTTGTGTGCAACTATTTGTTAATAAACTTTCTTTTGTAATATTTGCTTCTGAACCTCATTTAACACTAAAAGCATTTTATACCTACATATAATTGTTTTAAAATTAGAATAAACACAATCATTTTAAATAGGATGTTTAATTATTCATAATTATCCACTTGCTAACTTAAAACCTAAAAGTTCTCCACTCAAAGCAGAATTCATGAATATTACCTGAAAAAGAAAAGGAAATATAAATAAATTAGTTATTAATTATTATTATATTAACTTGCACACCAGTTTTTTTAGTATTTTCAAGAATCTAGGTTCAATGCTGATAATGAATTAATAGTCTTTTACGTCAAATACTAAACATTCCCATACTTAAATGTTCATTATGGGATCTACATATAGTTCAAACTATTCAAAGTAGACGGTTAATCTGGCTGTGTTAGTTAGGTGGTTCTGGCCTTTATTCCCAGTCGTGAGTTGAGGCAAACGCAAATAAAAAAATTGAAGTGGGGGCAATAACTTTATTCCCATTTGCCCCTGGTAGCAATCCTAGGTCAATGTTGCTTTTTTCCCCCATCTACTCCATTTTGATAAAACATTGGGCCCTGATTCTCTCAACTTAAACTAAAAAAGTATCTACTTTTCATTTTTTATAGAGCAAGAACATATTATTTTCAAATTTAGATTAGAGAAACAAGCTAAAATCTGTAAGGTAGACATAGGTAAGATTGGATGATGAGGCATTGTTTTATTTTAATTTTTGCACTATGTATCTTCTGCACAAGTTTATTTGTCTATGGTTTTGCTCAAGAAGTTTGCCTCTACCTTTAACAGTCTGTCTTTACTGCATTAGTACTTAACATCCATCTGATAGCTAAAATTAACTTAGTGTATCTAATTCTATTTTATATATGCGAAATCTCCAACTTATGTCTATTACATTTGTAATAATTTTAGAGACATAATAAGATTGGTCTTCTAAATAAAACTTACAATTTACTTCTTGAGAAGCTGGTGGCGAGTGATCAGGTAAGGTGCAGAGAGTCCAGATCCAGCGAACAGGATGAAATACAGAGTCAATTTGTACCGATTGGAGATGTCAAATGGCAGGTTCTGAAATTTCACAAGAGAATTAATTACATTTGCTAATTACAGTAGCACTAAGTATACATCTCAACTAAATCTCTTTCTAATTACCACGAGGAGGTATTGACGTAACTTCTGCTGGTAAAACTGTACTTCCAGGGCCCAAAAGGTGATACTTGTTTTTTTTTGTAGAAAAGGTCTTTTTAACAGTTTTTTTTTCTGGCGCTTCGCCGGCCGCTGCCGCGGCACGCTCGCTTTGCTCGCTCGGCTCGCGCGTTATGGTCACAACACTAACCTAACCTAACCTAGTGTGAAGTATCACCACTTGATAAGAAAAGTAAATTATTAGCAATATTTTTTTCTAAAAAACTACCAGTGCATAAGTGTGACATTTTTTTTAATAATGTGGTTAACAGAAACCTTTTTAACAACAAAAATGCGAAATTACAACCAACAAAACTGTGAAGTTTTTACTTTTGGGCCCTGGAAGTACAGTATATCCCTTCTGCTTTACCAAATTTATAAACACTTGTTTGTTTTAGCCACTTTGATATAAATAATTAAGATAAAGTAAAAATATTTTTATTAAAGTAAGGGCCGAAGTGTGCTAATAATTCAAAAATAGTCCTAATTAGGTTCGTAAATAAATAAAAACAAAAGAAAATTGGTAATAACCACTTCAGGGTTATGTAATATGTGCTGCTTTATAATTTGAAATTGGAACTCACCTCTCCAGGAACACCACCATGAGAGTGATTCCTCACGAAGGTAGTAAACACATTCCTTCCCAATTTGTTTGAAAAACGTGCCAGAGGGGAAATCATTGTGAATTTATTGGAAAATCCTATAAAACAAAAGTGATAAAATTCTATGCTCTCCTTATTTTTTTTTTCTGAAAACTATCGAAGTGTTTCCTGTCTATAAAATCAAAAATAGGGTAGTAGAATATTAGTAGTAGCATTACTATAGTGACCTGAACGCTGCCGTAAAAACAAATGACACAACTTTTACTGCATTTCACAATCAGTATTTAATTTCTTACATAAAAATTATTCTTATGAATTCTACAATCTATATTTCATCGTTTCCTTCTCTATTTCACAGTTGGTGATGCCTCGGTTGTCTGAAATAAGAAAATTATTAATAATTAAGTAGTATTATTCGAAGTTAACTGCCGTACTCACACCCCCATATTAATAAACGCAAAATAAGCTTCAACTAGTTACACCGTGTTTTGTTCCTCTCACTCAAATGCCATTTGTCATTAAATGAACAGAGACAAAACATGAAGATACAAATCCAAGCTTATTCTTTGTTTATTAATAAGGGGGTTAGGTTATCCCTAACCTAAGGCACATGCTGTATGAACCCACTTTAAGAGTGTCTCGTAAAGGGCTGCAATTTTTAAGGTTCCTAGTCAATAAAGAACCCTATCGTTATGTTTTTTTTCGCTATGTCTGTCTATACATCAGTTCATCCGCAGTTTAGCGCAGATCTGATGGACTGATGTCCATCCGCAGTTTAGCGCAGACTATAAGATATTAGTACGCACGTTTAAGATATTAGTATTATTACTACCCACTAAAAGCTGTAATTCGACTTATTGATAAAGCAGTAAAATAAAATCTTGAAGAGAAAATGATTTGGAGTTCTTACAACTTCATACTTAAAGTATAGACAGTTCTTTGAAAAATATTTATAGTGGAGACAATTTTTCGATTAAGTAAGAATGTTAACTTAGTTTGGGCAAGATTAGATTTTGGAGTGAAAAAGTTCGTTAGAGTCAAGTGTCCCTTCTCCATCGCGAATTGGTTGATCCTGGAGTAAAAGAAAATCACGGTAGTGTCGGTAGTAGCAGAAATTAATAGGAGAATAATCACAGCTAATAAGTTTTTACAATTTCACGACTGAAGCAATTAATTACATAAATAAATAAAAAAAACAAGTGTGCTTATGACCACACGACTGAAGTGAAACTTCTTTAGCGCCATCTGTATAATATATATATATATATATTATAAAGATATCGCTCTGGTGTAGTGGCGCATCCGATCCCAGAGCGCCCTCGTAAGGGCCAAGGAGGGTAACGGTGGTTTTTAGTGGGTAGGACCGGCGTTGTTCCGCGCTGGGGAGTCCCACACACGTCGCGCGCCTGGCAAGCGCGCGGTATGGTGCATAAATGCATTTCCCACCGTCAACAATATATATATATATATATGTATGTACAATTTATACATGTATGTACATATACATATTTCATTTACTAGCTATAAGAGAAAGAGAGAAAGAAAATGTGCGCGCGCACTGCTTTCTCTTGCTTATATCCTCCACTCAACTCCCGTTCGCCTCGCCCGAACACACTTTTCGAAACGAGTAACGCATTCGCCAGCTTACCCCCCAAGTCAAGCGTGCGTAAAGAAGTTTCACTTCAAAAAACACATATTTCGTTGATTGTTGGTTAAAAAGGTACCTAGGCGCCTCCAAAATAAATTAAAAACCTCCTAAATAATAATAAGACTATTGTAAGGCCCGGTAAAGGGCGATAAATTTATTTAAATGAAATGTTAGGTTTAGGTAGACAACAGTCTTCCTATAATTACGGTATTTGCGTTTTTTGAAATATTAGAAAACTTAAAAAAGGTGGATGTAAAAGGTTCAGTGCGTGCGTCACGTCATGGTACACAGAAAGAGGTGTGACGTGTGCGTGACCAAGGGAAATGGGGATTAATTTTAATTTAATATAAAGATATACCTACACATACGTATTAACCAGTTAATAATTAACTTACTTCAAACGGATTACCCTTGTTTTTTGCCTCACTTATTAAACATACAGAGATCCAACCCTTAATAATTAATGCGGAGTGTCAAATATGGCTAATATTTTTAAGAATGTTAGTAAGGATAGAATAAGCTAAGAATAGAATATGCTTACCTCTACTTCTTCGCCAGTTGATGCCACATAACCAAGAAAGGAGCCGTTAAGCCAGTACCAACAAATAAGAAGAAATTAATCGTCAACCGTGTCCTGTTGTGGATTTGGAAGGGAAGATTCTGAAATGCCATAAAATAATATAAATATGCAACCGTGATGACAAACTATATTTACAGGACATTGTAGTTTATATTCTTCAAATATCTCACCATAAAGATGTTATTTACACAAAACCTGAATCGACAAATACGAAATTCTAATAGGATCACTCGATTGTCTCAGTCGGTCACAGTCGATTTGCTTGGAATCTTTTGGACCAAACAAGTTGATATTTGGTATATACATGTATGTCTGTGCCATTAAATGCGAATAAAGTCAATAAATAAATTTTGAATATGGGGGTTACTTTAGAGGGCGAATTAGAAAATTAAAAATAAGTTAATTATACCGTGTTAAATATCAAATGAAAGGGTTCAGTGTGAAGATTCCAAACATATTTTTTTACTAAAAACGAAAAAGGAATAGATTAAATACTTAAAAATTAACCTGTCGCCTCCTTATCTCCGTAGGTAACTACTGTATCTATCTAACAATTTGAACAAAAAAATAAATGTAGCTCTTTGCTTGTAGCAGAAATAATTAAAAGAAGTTTATAGTAATTAAAATGAATAAATATTAAAGGTCAAGGACATAATTTTTTTTTAGGTTTTTTATAGGAGCCCTATACAGATACAGATAACAGAAGTCATTTTTTGTCGTTATTTTGCTCGTTACGGGTCCTTTTGTGCGCAAACCCGACTCGCACTTGGCCCGTTTTTTATGTCCTTGAAACGACTGAGTATCGATCGATCGAGCTATAGAGGTCGTTAAGGTCGTTAGGTAACTTATATAAATAAATCAATCCTAATTTATTTCGGTGGTTTACGTTGTGTGAGTAAAAGTAGACGTGGAAGGAGATATTCTCATCAAATGTAAACTTAGTCTGCGTTCAGTATTTTATGGCTCATTGTTTCAAATACCATTCACTGCTTCGGTGAAGTAATGTAAACATGCATTGCAATTCTCTTGTGGTTCCAGTTATGAGTCGCAATTGGCAAATAACATCGAGGAATCTATTGTCCGAGTAGGTACATATATAATGTTAGGAATATGTAAGACTGAAAAGGCGTAGTATAGATATTTACCTATAACGCTTAAGGAAAACGGCATAAACATGACTTTGTTAAATAAATGAATTTGCCCTATAGCAGATGGATGATGTGATGATAAATAGTAAATATTATTCCATATTAATAATTCATAATTTCTTTGTTAAATTTCCATAAATTCTTTGAAAAATAATGTTAACCACCACAAACCACGATACTATTAATCAAAATTATCAGCTTTATTTTATAAACTTCGGTCAATATCTTGAAATTCTACCACTTTGGCGAGATATGCAACTTCTTTTTAACGAATTTTCCAATTATAATAGTTAAAGAGTTTTGCAAGACATCTTAAGTGCAAGGTTTTTTCTTTTTATTAATATTTTCTGGCATTATTTTTACAGACAAGCGCCTTAAGTTACGTAATAAAATGAAACTCATAAAAAAATACTGACTTCGCCCGGCACTCCTCCATGGGATCCATTTCTCACGATGTTCTTCATCACATTTCGTCCAGTCTGGTTTGAAATTCTTGCAATAGGACCCAACATTTTCACTCGTTACGACGGTTTTCTAATAAAAATGACCAGGTAAGTAGATAAGATATGAGTATTGATAGGCCTAGCCCTCGACTTCAACTGATAAGCGACCCGATCACACAGGTAGGTATGTTAGCTATAATACGACTTCACCGAAGGAATGTCAATAGTGTTTATAATTTTTTGGTCGCGTGTTTTGCGAATTCAGTAAAAAAGTGAGTATAGTATACGTGTATTGTGGATTTTAAATTGCCTATTCGTATAGCTAGATCTAGAATTATAGTCGTCATTAATATTTCTTTATTCCAGAAAATTAAGTCAATAATATTATAAAACCACGCATGCAGAGGAATTACTGAAGATTTCGTGTTTAATTTTTAGCAGCGCGCGCTGCGTGGCTCTATGACATTTCATACTTCAAAACTTTATGAACCCTTCGGAAAAATAAAGTAAACGCGATTCAACTAAGAATAGGAGTGGGCGCTTTTCTCTTTGGGCGCTATATTGTGACATAGCTGTCAATTCAAACCAAATAGGTAGAGTGAGCAGAAATAAGGTTTCATTTAATAAAACTTATTTATTAAGATTAAGTGAGTAAAAATATCAGTTTTAAAAAAAAATGGGTGCGTGTACTTATGTAGGCGCGTGAGAAGTTATCCTTCTTTGGCATCGTTTAAAATTAGTTTTTAATTGCATGCAAATAATTAATTACAATAAATTAATAAAAGTCTGGAAAAGGACACAGTCAATAAAGTTCAGTTTTAATTTGAAAAAATAAATAAATAATCAAAATATTGAATTAAAATCGCTACTGAATATAATTTATTAGAACATAATTATGTGATTTGCACTTGTATGAAACTCAAACACGTATTCCGAATATACAAACTAGAAACATGTGGATAAAAATTATAAATATGAATACCTATAACTGTTACTTTATTACAATAATAATATAAAAGTAACATTGAAAAATAAAGATGTGGTTTTTGGTTCTACTACACCAATGTTTAAGAGATGGCGCTGTAGTCTCCTGAATCGCGCTTTGGTTCCGTTGTTCCAGATTAATAAATACTTTTGATAGACCTTCACAATGCAGTCGTTAGCACCCACTGAGTAGAGATTCTATTTCTATTTTGTTGGTAGATTTTCTTAATGTGCGGTAAACACAAAAGTAATTTTTGTGTTACAGTGATGCGCGCGCATCTTAAAATTTCACTCTCATAATTTTTTCATAACGCGCCTAAAGAAGTATAACTTCAAAAAATCTTAGATTGAGAAAAAACTACAACCGATTTTGAATAATATTTATTTTATTAAGTAAGACTGTGTGAGAAAAAACATTAATCTGAATCAAGCTCTCAATTTCGCTCCTCTCTGCATTACCGCCGGCGTGGTTATGAATAATCATGCACTATTACTAGGTCACATGCATCCTTTAAGTAAACGAAAGTTTTAAATTGAGTTTATGAACGCAACTTAAAGTGACATTTGGTTGACGATTAAGGTTATCAACCAGTCATAGCCATAGCTCAATAAATGAAAAAAAATGTCAAACAATATTAATTATCAATATTTGTTATTGTTTGTTTTCAAATGTTTGGTTTTTCTTCTAGAATTAGCTGAGTGCTAAAAAAGGGTTCGAAGTTCTTTTTTGCAAACTGTACTTTTCACCCGACATTTGACAGATGGAGGTCATGGGCTTTCCTATTCTTATTCGAATCGCGCTGTAGTTTTTAGACGGCTTTAAACGAGCCGAACTAATGTTATAAACTCAACGCTATCGCCTATCGTAGGTTTAACAAATATTAAAATAAAATAAAATAAATCAAAGATGCTTTTAAACATTTGTACATATTTGAAAAATATATTTTTTATTACTATAAGTAAATGTTTTTCAAAACTTTTCGTTTCTTAATCATTTCGTGCGTAGGGTAGGTCCGGGCCCAGCACAAAAAAGTCATAGGTGGGAGTTTTTATATTTTTTCATAGGGCAATTATTCATCTGCCATTTTAAAAAAAAGAAACAGTCGGCCACGCTTGCTACAAAAATTATTTCACGTTTTGGGGAATAATTCCCCTTTGTTTCGTTCGAATATTGCTGCAACTACCTCATTATTAACCAGAGCAAACATATAAATTAAAATTCAAAATTCGAAATGGCCGATTTAGATGATTTCTTCGCAAAGAAAGATCGTAAAAAGTCAAAGGCAGTCAAGAAGTTTGCCACCACCGATGAATTAGCAAAGAAATTAGATGACCCAAAACAGAAGTCAGATGTGCGGCCTAAAAAAGAAAGGCCGATTCAGGAAGGAGATGAGCCTGGCAAAGCTGGGGTGAGTTTCTACTTGCAGCATTGACTTTGTAGTGATTTACCCATACAGTTCCTTGTCTCGCCGAGACATTTCTGGGTATCGTTGCGATGATAAGTTCTTCATTTATGCCGAAAAATATACCATAATGAAGTAGCTATTTGTATATTTACAATTTTACATAACAATACTTAAAAATTTTGTTAGTATAGTATGTTAATTAAAGTCAATTACTTTGATCTTCTCTTGTAATACGTAGGTATAACCTGCATTGTGGGTCACGCCACAGCATCACTTATGTATTTGCTTTACATCATTAAGTGGTATTGTGTTAGTTGCACTCAAAAGACCAGTACCTATTGAAAAAAGAATTTCAATTAATATCTTTGTCAGTTCCAATCACAGATAAGAGATATCAACAAACAATTTTACTGTATAAATTTATGTTTATAGAAAAACTTGAATCAAAATTAAGTCAATCAGAAAATTATAATTAATGTTTATCCATCTAACAACACCAATGAAAGCATGTATATAATTTTTGGAATCCTAAAGATGGTGTCATTCTCTTTTCTCGTAATAAGGGTTATAAAAAAGAGGTAAGGTTGCTCAATAATCCAAAAATTTAAAAATGCTGAGCATTTATTCAAGTTAAGGATGCTGATTCTCCCTGTATGCTTTGGGTCTGTAAATTTTATAAAGTTTTCACATATAAATTTAAACTATTTATATCAATATACAATCGGAACATTTACCCAAGAAGCTATTAATGATTGGCTATTCTTATATCAGTTTGGACCGGCTATAATAACTGCTTCCTCATTATACTCATTAATTCAAAATCTTCCTGATTCAAAAGCTAATAAACAGTTGTATAATGACTCACAAATAAAGAATTCAGTTATGACTTTATCAGCAATTGTTTTGGTGTTGCTTTTACTTTAAAGTTGCTTTAAAACATTATTTACATGGATAAACTTCATTAGAAATAACTAAAGTGATTTGTGCAAATGTTTATTCTCAAATATTTAGGAAATAATGTTATTTTGCCTTATTCGTAAAAATTTTAGTCCATTCCAAAGCTAAGAAGGCAGGTATATTATCCTAGTTGCAGATACATCTGTAGTATTTAACACCCACCACCATACACTAGGTCCTCAGGATGCCACTTCCACTTCCACTTTGGGTATTATGGCTGCATCGTTATGCACGATGATTCTGCCAATGTCAGGGTTAAGAAAGGCACTGTTATATCGGTACTCTTCTTTGTACGGTGTGGTAGCCTGGTTTCCTCGTGGAGCTATCGCGTGGAGTTGAGATTCTAGAATAGGACAACACATTTAACATCACAAGCGGACATGTACCCAAGCATACAAATTGTTAGTGTCTTTATTAGTGTAGTAAAGCATTGGAAATCAAGTAAGAGATGCACAGGATGCACAAAGTCCATTCCCTCTATGTAACTTTGTCTATAGGAAAGTCATGTGCTATTTATATAATTGTTTATAAAACAAAGTTTTGGATCCTACTATGTGATTGACATACATTGTTTTTATAATAATTTTCCGTGTACCCCAAGCACCAACTTTCACAGATCCGTAATCTGTAATCATATTGTCATCATCAAAGTTTTTATGGAAACTAAGAAGGGCCTTACCAGACATAAGAAAAAAGTAGCTCCTTCCATAGAAACTTTGACAATGGCGTTACAATGGCAGATCTGTCAAAGTTCTTCTACTTTTTGCAAAATGGCAGTCACTTTTGTGGACTTCACCAGACTGAAGTTATTTGGCTTGGTTGTTTGGTATTGACCACAGGTATTGACTCTGCTTTTTCTTAAAGTATGTTGTGAAAGCAATTTAACTATTTATATTAGATAATGGTTTGTGCTAAGGGTACTGTTGTCTTATCTGAAAGCTAGAGACAAAGACAATCATAATCAAAATCATTTATTCAGTTTAGGCTGTTACAAGCACATATGAATGTCTAAAAGCTATGCCATCGGTTCGTAAATCTATGGTGGGAGACCTTGTACTGAGAGGAACCGGCAAGAAACTCAGCAAGTGCTGTTTTTTTCTCCCTGTTTTATCATTTACAGAGTCTTCAAGTTGAAAAATGACTTAGAGATGATTCATGAAGTCACCTTTCATTACATAATGTGAAATTATACATTAATTGTTCACCTGCATTTTGATTGCTGTGTCACACAGTATAAATACAAACAGAGTTATTTATAATAGGTGTAATTAAACATTTACATCTTAAATATCAAAGTAGTTAGGGCAGACTGATCTCCGCTGGCAGCACCTGTTCACGAGCATGACGCATGAATCAGCCATCGCTTTGCTCAACCATATTTTAGGGAATGTAATGACCCGCCTCACACGACAATAAAAAATAGTATTGCTAGTTGCTTAGTCTTAAGACAAACAATTACAAACGTATTGTGTCAGGAATAATGTACACTCTGGAAGTAGTTTGGTTGGAATCGATTCTGAGTTGAATTTCAATAATAAGAGTATCTAAAATGAAACAAAATAAAATAATTGACTTTAATTTAATCATTGTAAGCATAGGAATATGGCACATAGTACAAGGTAATAAGAGCTATTTTCAAATGCAAATGTACATGAAATAATTTTACTAAAATTGGGATAAGGTACACCAATCAGGATCACTGGTTAAGCTGATTAAATAAAAATAACTGAAAATGATTAATTTGCATATTTGTAACAAATTTTTGAATGTACAGTGGAACTGTCAAAGTTCATGCTATTATTCGACGACCTTCGTGGCCGAGTGGTTTGTACGCCGGGTTTCATAGTGTCGCCGACTCGAGAGGTCCCAGGTTCGAATCCCGGTGGGGGCAGATGTTTGTGTGATGAATATGAGCATTTGTACTCCAGTTATGGATGTTTAATATGTAATTCTATATAAATATACTTATATAATGTACAGTATATGTATTCTATCCATTACCCTAGTATCCCATAACACAAGCCTTAATAGTGCTTACTTTTGGGCTAGGCTAATTGGTGTGAGTGTTAGCAATATTTATTTATTTATTTATTATAAGAGTACTGTTCTGTTCATCCTATTCATTTCTGTTGGCAATTTCCTTAAAATTTATTACTAATGTTATTTTACAATATATTATCAATGTTGGTAGACTGAAACAGCTGTACACACAAGAACACTAAAACATCGATCAGACACACTTTACATATATATGTCTAAATAATATATTAGTTGACCTTCCAGGAAGAGGAAGAATGGAAAGAGTATGAGGAACCAGTAAAGGATTACACAGGGCTAAAGATCCAAGTGCTTCAAGGCGGCAACGGTGCACCGGAGTCTGGTCGTGATCCTGCCTCTGAGGACTCTGCACCTGATGGTAGCGGGAAGCCTAGAGGTCCTTGGAAGAAAACTGTGAGTTAATATTGGTGTCCTCGAATTTTTTTTTTTTTTTATGAAAGTAAAAGAAAGGGTTTTTCCATTTATGCAATGTTCGAAAAGAAGTTTCTTTTGAAGAAAAAAAATGTCGCAGTGCGAGCAAGCCTTAAAACCGTTGAAGCGATTTAGGTGACATTTGGTAAAGACCAAGCACGAATTTTGGCAGCTCTGTAATCTATCATCATCATCAAATTTTGTATGGAAAACGCTGGTTTGTTCTGACGTCCGATAGGGGCGCTGTTTAGTTTACATAGAAACTGACAACAATACAAAGCTGTCAAAATTCGTGCTTGGGCCACAAGACTCAAACTATGTAGACAGATTTAGTCTATGTTTATGAAAGGACATGTGATAGTTTCTAACCCTGAAATCATGCTTAATGGCTCGAATACACTTGGTCGTTAGCCCGTTTTCGGGTGTATGAAAGACGTTGTTCGAATTCGGGCACCTGAAGCTTTACCCGAATTACATTGGTACTCGTATTCGGGCCGACGACCTAGTCTAATTGAGCCATAAAGCCATAAAATAGGCGCTGGCTGAAAATCAGCGCTGCTGTGATATTGCGAAAGTACTACCACATAAGCACAGTTGACAAAGCGACCTTATTTAAAAAAAACATTGATGAAAAATTGCATTATTACTAGCTCTGACCTCACGCGAGAAGAGAGATATATGTGTACATCGGACGCTTGGGCCGATCATGCCTCTATCGCTTGTTCCGCGCTCTCGCTTGCACGCTCAGGCTCAGGCGGAACGTGACACTTTCTCGTGCGTACAGCCGGTGTTCATCGATATATAAGACATTATCACTTCAAAAAAAGTGGTAGGGAAATTGATATCAGAGATTTTTCGTCATCAAGGTTGTTTTGTGTGGTTCCCCGCTAAGGTGGAAGTGGAGCCCCCGCCGCCGCCGCCGCCAGTAGAGGAGCCGAAACCGCGGGACACAAAGCCCGCCGCCTACGTGCCGCCAACGCAACGCGGCCGTCCCGCGGAGCCCCCGCTGCGACGCAACCAGGCCGTGAGTAGATATTCTACAGCGTTGCCAGACGTCCCCATTTTGGCGGGACGTCCAGATTTTTAAATCAAAATTAATGTCCCGCGCGGGACATGCTCAATCGCGCTTTGCGGGAATACTCGACCGTGCATGCAGCGTACTGAGAAAGCGCGGGCGGGTGGCACAGACAAGTGCGGACTGGCCGCCTGCCCGGCGCGTAATGAAGAACTCTCAAACAAAGACTCAACTATTTAATGATAGGGTAAATCTGATTTAAAATATCATATTTTTATTGAAATATATTTTCAAGGTACCTATCTATTTTCACGTAAAAGTAATTTAAACTCAACTCAACTTTTGATTACATACGTTTTTTTTACTATGTATCTTTCGACGAAAGAATCCCGCTTTTTTCACTCAAAAAGTTCCTAAATCCCGACTTGCCACAAGAAAAATCTGGCAACGCTGATAGATTATAGTTGGAAAAAAACCGTTTGCCTCTCGGGACGTACGATAGAAGTGATAACTTAAACTAATCAAGTGGTGCTGCTGGTTAGGGTGAGAAAGGAGGAGTGTCCACATCAGAAGGTTGTTTAACTAAATGAGCACAGGAGATTTGTAGGTCAAAAGGGGATTCGAGGGTGATAAGGGGATTGGAGTTTGTGTTAAGGGGATTGGTGAGTGATAATAAGGGATTGGTGGGTGATAGCGGGGATTGATGGGTGATAATAGGGGATTGGTGGGTGGTTCTGGGGACACCCCTCTGGGCGGGTTGTGGCGTCTATCTCCTTGTGAAGCGAAACAGACTGGCGTCGTAACGCGTTATGTAACGAAGCGGTTTGACCTCCCATAAGAAGTTATCCCTTTAAAAAAAACTCGTAAGCTATCAATATAATGCGGTTATTAACACTTAATTATCCAACTTGGACCTATAAAAATGTTATAGTGTTTTTTGTTTATTTAAGTTGCTTAAAAATAAGTCGTGAAGCAATTAACATAATCTAAAATATTATTAATACAAACTAATAAAAAACTTGATTGATACTTACTATTAACTTGCAACTCGCAGGGGTGGAAACAATTCAATGAAAGTCAGTTTTTAAAGGCAGTTATTTTTTAGTCAGTATTTATAGTATCTTAGCTCTGAAATCTTCTTCAAAAATGTGTCTCATTTTGCTTTTAAATTATTTCGTATATATGAATCAAGCGAATTCAAACACGAGGCGGTTCTCAATTCTACTGTTTCTTTTCTATGTTTGCTACGCGATTCTCCGTAAATTTAGGACCGATTTTCAAAATTATTTTAGTAATCACGAAATAACTGAAGTATTTGCGGGTAGGATATTTTTGGTAGACATTGATGGCGTTTGCAATAGTGCCCGAAATATCGGAGACTCGCCAAAAACAAGGTAGCAATCCCGATTGTACGAGCTAGCATTTTTCACGCATCAGCACTTTTAACATTTTACATTATTACACAAAATTATTTTATAAGTTAGTACCATACCATTGTCAATTAGCAAATAATTTATTTTTAATTTTTTTCTCAAATATAGCATTTTTACCAATATCAATTCTTATCATTTATCGGGGCAGCCCGAACACCGATAATAATTTTTTTTTCTATCTATAGTGAAAAATATGATGAAAAAACGGTTCTTTTCTCGAATACAGAAAAATCAACAGCACTATCCAAATGATATATTATGACTAGGGTTGCAACGATATATGGGAATATCGATAATATCGAGACCAAAATATCGATATTTATATCGATATTTAAAATTCACTGATATCGATAATATCGATATCGGAAATTCCAAAATATCGATATTTCGTAGACTAAATTTGAACACAATAATATCAATTAATTTACCTGCTATGACTATCTAAATTGAATAATATCGAAATGACTATTGATTTGAAATCGCAAGAGCTTATAGATGTATTAAAAAAATCTTGAACCCCAAGAAATATACTAAACTGGTGTGGATTCTGGCATGCTTCTCTAAACCTAAAATTAAATTTGACAACAGTGTATCCTTGTCATTCTCTATACAGAATGAAAAGGAGAGACTGATGTTAAATTTAGTTTTAAGTTTAGATAATTATGCCAGAATCGACACCAACGTATATAGGTATAATCGTATACCTAATGGTAACTCATGCACATAAATAAAATCCTTGCCTCTCTTTCTAGATAATTGTCAACTACTGATTAATTGAAATTTAATATCATTGTAATATAACATAAAATAAAATTAAGAATCTTATACAAATCGTAAATTTTTTAAGCTCGCGAAGTCAAGAAAGTAAGATAGGTATAGTGATTTTGGAAGCTTTGGGCTACCCGGCACGCCCCTGATTTATGGGAGACTAAGCAATTTGCGTATTTGATGTGCGCTAAAAAACCGACATAGATTGGAAAAGCACGAATGTAGTGAAAACTTAGCGAAGGCATTCGCAAATGTCGTCCCACATATGCGGGTTGGCGCATTCGTGCTAACGAATGTGAGTGATCTGATCAGGATAATAATTTTAATTTTTTGGTTTCCTGTCGTGGCTGAAACACAAACCGTGTGAGCCAATAGAAAAAAAACCTGCTTGGCGCGATTTCATCAAGCGTGTTTAACGAAAAAGCTGGCTCAATGCATTTTGCGAAAAACTCGCCAACAAACATATGAATGTGTCACACTCACCCAGTATTCTAATGTCAATAAAAAATAAAAAGGAAAATATATCGAGTTAAAATGGTCGATATATCGGATATCGATATTTTCCTGCCTTCGATATAAATATCGATATTTCAAAAGACTGCATCCTTAATTATGACGATCTCCGTGGCTGAGTAGTTTGTATGCCGGTTTTCAAGGTGTCGCCTACTCGAGAGGTCCCTGGGTTGAATCTCGGTGGGGGCAAATGTTTGTGTGATGAATACGAGCATTTGTACTTTGTACTCCAGTCATGGGTGTTTAATATAAATATACTTATATATGTATTCTATTCGTTACCCTAGTATCCCATAGCACAAGCCTACAGTGATAACTTTGGGGCTAGGCTAATTGGTGTGTGTGTTGAAATATTAATTATTATTATATTATATTATTACTAGCTGTCCCAGCGAACTTTGTACCGCCATAAAAAAATATGGATCAAAATTTAGGGTTGTATATATTTTCGTATGATGTATTATAAAAAAAACAAAAATTTTGACCAAAAATAAAATATTTAAAGGGTGGACCACCCTTGACATATTATTATAGGGGGATGAAAAATTGATGTTATCCGATTCTCAGACCTACTGAATATGCATATAAAATTTCACGAAAATCGGTCGAGCCGTTTCGGAGTAGTTCAATTACGCAGACCGTGACACGAGAATTTTATATAGTACTAGCGGACCCGACAGACGTTGTCCTGTCTAGTATGGTAGCGCCGTCTGTCGGATCCAATGTAAAACATTTCAAAATCTACAACTACTAATAAATTAAAAATTAATTAAAAAAACATTGTCCAGCGGACAAAATTGTGAATCTAAACCATTCTCAGATCCCCTTGAACACACACAAAAAATTTCATCAAAATCGGTCCAGTCGTTTAAGAGAAGTTCAGTGACATACACACTCACAGAAGAATTATATTATATAAAGACTAGCTGTCCCGGCGAACTACGTACCGCCATAAATAATAGGGGTTGGTGGTAGAAGGGTGAACATTTAGGATTGTATGTATTTTCGTATGATGTATCATAAAAAAATTAAAAAAAAAAACTAAAATTGAAAAAAAAAAAATTAGGGGTGGATTACCCTTAACATTTAGGGGAATGAAAAATAGATGTTGTCCGATTCTCAGACCTACCCAATATGCACACGAAATTTCATGAGAATCGGGAAAGCCGTTTCGGAGGAGTTTAACCACAAACACCGCGACACGAGAATCTCTTATCTATTAGACAAGTCCGTCCGTCCGTCCGTGGTGCTGTTTCAGCGGCGTAAGAGATAGATATAGAGAATGTTCAAGTTATAAGTTAAGAATAGTCTGATAAGACTACAAACCGGATGTGAGTAACGTAGCACTTCCGGTTTTCGAGAAATCACGTGATTTCTATTTCAAACGAAACCACACAAAATCTCCGAAGTTATCAATTAATTAAATACATTTTTTTTGTAAACACTTGGTTTGCTAGTTTTATATATTAGATGGGATCTCTTGAGTAGGCGACACCATGAAACCCGGTGTACAAACCACTCGGCCACGGAGGTCGTCAATGATATATGTATTGTATATAATGAGAGCGCTGACGCCCGCCTCCAATTCCAGAAGCACGCGCCGGACATCCACAACGACGACACGTTCCCTGTGCTCGGGGCTGGAGCGAAGCGCGGGGGCTGGTCCACCGCGGGGGGCGGAGCGCCCGCGCCCGTGCCGCCGCGCGCCGCCCTCGCGCTCGGCAACCGGTTCACGTCGCTGCAGGACGACAGCTAGCCAGGTGCGTATAATATACATATGCGCGGGGGCTGGTCCACCGCGGGGGGCGGAGCGCCCGCGCCCGTGCCGCCGCGCGCCGCCCTCGCGCTCGGCAACCGGTTCACGTCGCTGCAGGACGACAGCTAGCCAGGTGCGTATAATATACATATGCGCGGGGGCTGGTCCACCGCGGGGGGCGGAGCGCCCGCGCCCGTGCCGCCGCGCGCCGCCCTCGCGCTCGGCAACCGGTTCACGTCGCTGCAGGACGACAGCTAGCCAGGTGCGTATAATATACATATGCGCGGGGGCTGGTCCACCGCGGGGGGCGGAGCGCCCGCGCCCGTGCCGCCGCGCGCCGCCCTCGCGCTCGGCAACCGGTTCACGTCGCTGCAGGACGACAGCTAGCCAGGTGCGTATAATATACATATGCGCGGGGGCTGGTCCACCGCGGGGGGCGGAGCGCCCGCGCCCGTGCCGCCGCGCGCCGCCCTCGCGCTCGGCAACCGGTTCACGTCGCTGCAGGACGACAGCTAGCCAGGTGCGTATAATATACATATGCGCGGGGGCTGGTCCACCGCGGGGGGCGGAGCGCCCGCGCCCGTGCCGCCGCGCGCCGCCCTCGCGCTCGGCAACCGGTTCACGTCGCTGCAGGACGACAGCTAGCCAGGTGCGTATAATATACATATGCGCGGGGGCTGGTCCACCGCGGGGGGCGGAGCGCCCGCGCCCGTGCCGCCGCGCGCCGCCCTCGCGCTCGGCAACCGGTTCACGTCGCTGCAGGACGACAGCTAGCCAGGTGCGTATAATATACATATGCGCGGGGGCTGGTCCACCGCGGGGGGCGGAGCGCCCGCGCCCGTGCCGCCGCGCGCCGCCCTCGCGCTCGGCAACCGGTTCACGTCGCTGCAGGACGACAGCTAGCCAGGTGCGTATAATATACATATGCGCGGGGGCTGGTCCACCGCGGGGGGCGGAGCGCCCGCGCCCGTGCCGCCGCGCGCCGCCCTCGCGCTCGGCAACCGGTTCACGTCGCTGCAGGACGACAGCTAGCCAGGTGCGTATAATATACATATGCGCGGGGGCTGGTCCACCGCGGGGGGCGGAGCGCCCGCGCCCGTGCCGCCGCGCGCCGCCCTCGCGCTCGGCAACCGGTTCACGTCGCTGCAGGACGACAGCTAGCCAGGTGCGTATAATATACATATGCGCGGGGGCTGGTCCACCGCGGGGGGCGGAGCGCCCGCGCCCGTGCCGCCGCGCGCCGCCCTCGCGCTCGGCAACCGGTTCACGTCGCTGCAGGACGACAGCTAGCCAGGTGCGTATAAAGACGGGTACACATTAGCGAGCTGTGAGCAATAATTCAATTTTTCAAGTTACCGCATAAACGTTTCTCCGAGCACTATGGTGTCTATCTAGATGTGATGTCACACGACTGAATCACTTCTTATATTCTTATTAAATGCAAATGCTAATAGTTGGTACTTAATTTTGCATACTGTCATATAGCCTATTTAATATTTCGTCAAGACCGATGAAAAATCCGTTTCGCTATTAGAATGGACATATATAGGCTTCTTGCTTAACTTTAACTAAAAATATGACAAATACTAAATATTTTCCTAGGAGTCCCCAAACTAGGTATTCCCGTCTATGTGGACTCGGTGACAATAAACGTATTTAGTTTTAATAGGCTAAATATACATACAGTGGCTGGCGCGGTCCGAAGAGGGGGGGGGGGGGGGGGTCACAGGGGACATGAAACGAAAATAATTTGTTTTTATTTACATAATTTTGAAAATGGAATGCGATGTTTGTCATTACTATTTTATTGCATTTGCGCGCTATTATTGTTAGAATAACCCCTCGGCTGTGTAGCCATCTACTTTGTTTTTCACGGCCGGAAAATCAAAAAGCTTTCCGGTCGATTTTCATCCGCCGTCAGCCGCGCGCGACCTGTTAATGTAATATATAACATTGGATGTACCTATCCACAATGTATGGTTTCCCATTGTTGTTGTTAATAAGTAAAAAAGTTATTTGGAACATAAGCTTGTCAGGTAGTAGACTAGTCGCGAGTAACCAGTCGCGTACGCAGTCGCTGCAAAGCTGCTGCTAGCGGCTGCGGTCGCCCGCGACTAGGGTTGCCCTACTATATAATATAGTATCCTACTATATTTGGGGGTCAAATACTATATTTCCAAAATAAACATATAGTAGGCGAAACTACTATATTTTTGTTAAAGCAGATATTTGCCCGTGAAAGCTTTCTTCCATCCATCCATGAAGAACCTTGTCACACTATACAAGAATTCCAACTAAAAAGAACGTAGGATCATCATCAACTGAAATAAGTTGCCCAAACGAGGTATGAAAATATGTATAATCGTAATTATTTTTACTAAATAGATAAAACATTTAGGAAAATATCGAAGCTAATTATAAATGAAATTCTATCCTAAAAAAAACAATGAGACAAGAATGGATTATAACAGCTATCAAATTAAAAGTATTTTCTTTATTACTCGTTTTCATTTAGTTAGAATATAACATTATGTTCACTGTTGAATATTGAATTTATTTTTTAGTTTCATATTTGTATGAACTAAATAGTAATGAAAATGTAATGGTTATCTTTTTTCACAGGTAGCAGAAATTTGTTCTGCGCAGAGCAGAAGTAAAGTGAAGTGTCAATATGGACTTGTAAGCAAAGCCTGGGCATAGCATACACACACCCATTCTAATAAAGTCTAGCAAAACTGAAACAACAGTTCATTATTTAACGATTTGCATGGTGTTGCCACTACATAGCTAAACCGACGAAATAAAGACAGTTGCTGTAGCTAAAAGACAATGTTCCAAAATCTCTTTAGTGCAATATTTAAAAAAAACAAAAGCTTGGCTGGTAACTTTTTTATTTTTATAGTAATTTTAAAGAGATTTTAACTAAAAATTCGTAGACAATAAAAGGAATGCCTGTAATGTACTTGTTTGAAATTAAAAATAACGAACGACACTGTCGCATTTTACCACTGACGATAAAAAACGACATTGTGTTGATAAAAAAATGTATAGCAACTGTCTGTAAAGTGTAAAAATAAAAATAGGGGTGTGAAATACAACATTTGTTATTTTTTATGTTTATATTGGAAAAAGAAACTTAATGCAGTGATAATGAATGCGTGGTATGAGACGTTTAGGAAAAATAATATGTTTAATCATATATTTGTAACAGACTTAAAAATGAAACGTGAACACATGAATGTTGTAATTAAAAACCGACAAAAATGTTGGTTTATTTTTTTTTAATATTTGGCTGTATGTACACGAATATAAGCTACGTTTGGTTACCTTAAAATTGTTTTTTTAAATATTGCTGTTATGTACATGATTCGGCAGATCATTCGAAACATGATGTACCATAGAAATAAATTATCTATTTAAAACATTCGTTTTGTCTCATTTATAGTTAATAAGCATATTTTATCCAGAACTCCTCACTTTCCCCTCCTCCCTCAATATTGAACTCAACTTTAATTGTAAAAAATAGTTGGGGCAACTGCTTTCTATGCTATATTCAAGCCCTATAAATAAAAAAAAAACAGATTTAGTATCCTACTAATCCTCCATATAAAAAAAACCAATCTCATTTAGAAGTAAATTCCGATTTATTTTTATTAAACATACGAATACGAACAAACGACTAGAATTATGTGCGTAACAAACTTAAATACTAAAATTTTCCTCCAATCTTCTCAAATGATCTACGCTTGACTCTAGCGGTGGGCTATTGTGACTTAAAATATTGTTTTTATACATGTCCAAATTCCTCTGCACAGTCGTCGCCATGTTGGTGTAAACTTCCCGCGGCACCATTCGATTTTGCGCGGGAATTTTGACACTTCCGGGCATACTAAGGCTGCGTTCCAAGTTGAATACTCTTTCATTGGAGTACGAAGGTGGTGGAATTAGGAACGGCGGTGCATCTGGTTTCGGTAATGCTCTAAATATATTTCGGTCGACGATTTGATTGTGCGGAACCGTGTTCGGGATGTTGCTTATAGTTTTCATCCACTGTTGCTGTTGCGTTGGCGGCAGTCTGTTGGGGTAGTTGAATATCCATAGGCGGTCCCCAACAAACATAGGTCGGGGGGCGACTATGCCCAGACTGCTGTAATATTGTTGTGCTAATAGTTCAACGTCGTTCGTGTACTTTCGTTTCCATTTTGTTCTTCGATTTTGAAACCATATTTTTATCTGTAAAGGAAATAACAGCAGTGTGAAAACAAGATACCTAACAAATTACTATAGGTTTATAAGGTTTTATGAGGTTTTACAAGTATTATGATAGTCTCTGGCGAGTGGAGCAAGAAAATAATTTTGTTATAAATTTTATTATTTTTTAAGCATGTAACTGCTTGATGTTTAAATCTAAAGAAAATATAACTAGAAAAAATTCCACGCGGACCAGGCAGCAGACGGGACTCGAACCCGCACCCTTCGCAATCCGGGCGAATGCACTGACCAATTATGCTACCGCGGCCCTCACGGACCGCGTCGAAATTCTTCTAGCCATTCTTAAGCTGCAAGGCAGCGCCATCTCGTCGCATTATAGGTAACCCACAATGTCAAATGAATACTTTTACAAGTATTAAACAATTGAAAGAAGAAATAGCAATTATAGTTATAAATTTTATTATTTTTAAAGCATGTAACTGCTTGATGTTTAAATCTAAAGAAAATATAACTAGAAAAAATTCCACGCGGACCAGGCAGCAGACGGGACTCGAACCCGCACCCTTCGCAATCCGGGCGAATGCACTGACCAATTATATTGTGGGTTACCTATAATGCGACGAGATGGCGCTGCCTTGCAGCTTAAGAATGGCTAGAAGAATTTCGACGCGGTCCGTGAGGGCCGCGGTAGCATGATTGGTCAGTGCATTCGCCCGGATTGCGAAGGGTGCGGGTTCGAGTCCCGTCTGCTGCCTGGTCCGCGTGGAATTTTTTCTAGTTATATTTTCTTTAAATAATTTTGTATTTTTTGCCTAAGCTAACCAATACCAGAGATCAGATCAGGAAATGAAATTCGGAAGGGTGTTATTGAAACGGTTAGCAAGGAAATCGTATTTTTGGGAGTAAAAAAAATTTTTTTGTTAGCCAGAATAGCTAGTTGGACAGCAACTTATAATGAGTAAATATTTTTTAATCATCTCATACGTAAATAAGCTGCCTGCTTATATTTAAATTACTGACCATTATTTTGATTGTTTACAGAACAAGACTTGCAGCCTGATTTTTATTACTGCTAATAAATCTTTGTACTCGTATGCCGGCAAAAATAATTTTTAGGCTGCTTTTTTTTGATAACCAAAATTTATAAATGGCATACCAAATATTTACTTCACATTTCGAAATCCTATTTTTGCTTGAGAACCAAATAGTCTCAGTAAAACCACTGTTATTAGTTTTTATATTGTCATGTCGGTAACATATGAATGAATCGAAGGCTTAGAGCATAAACCTATATGCTGTAAGATCGAAGGACAAATTTAACAAGTCAATGATGTCGATTCTGGTATGACTCTCTATTTACAACAGTGCATCCCTGTCATTCTCTTTACAGAATGAAAGTGAGACACTGGTGTCGATTCAGGCATGATTCTCGAAACTTAAAATTAAATTTAACATTAGGCTGTCCTTTTCATTCTGTATTGAGAATAACAAGGATACACTGTTGTCAAATTTAATTTTAGGTTTAGATAATCATGCCACAATCGACACTATTGATGTTAAATTTTGTTTTAAATTAGAGAACCCTGTCAGGATCGACACCAATAGATAGGTAGGTATGAATCTTAAGAATTAATTAACCATAAAGATTCTTCTTACACACCTGGGTCTCGGTTAGCCGCAATTGTCTAGCGAGCCTACCACGAGCCGCGACTGATAGGTACCGGTTCTTCTCGAACTCTGCCTCCAAGCTCTTTATCTGTTGAGCACTGAATGCTGTTCTTGCGCGCTTTCCTCTGGATATGCTTGATCCTGAAACAAAGATAAAGATATATAGACGTTAATATAGATAAAACAATTTGTGGAAAATAGATGTTTTTAGTTTCAATGGTAAACCTAGTTTAGTAGTTCCGACATTCGGTTTCAAAGATTGCTGTTTAAAAACCTTAATGTAAATATCTATTTCTTGTTTTCACGTATACCAATAAACAATATAAAATACTTTTTGAACTGGTTAAAATCGTGGTCACCATCACCACGGACGCTGTAAATGATCCAAAACGTAAGGAATAATAGAAAAAAAATCTAAACCCCTCTTTGTGTGTTGGAGATATTTATTACCTGGGGTCCACCTAAAAAGTTCAATTGAGTGGACTCCGGAAACTTGTTCCCTTGGTGGACCACGGATACTGAAGCAGACCGTTTATTATTCGTTGTTCCATTGGACGTCCCATTAATGAGATGACGGAAAAGAACCTTACCATGTACCCATTAACCAAGATTAGAAAATTAGTTTTACTCCACTATCGCTTTTCTATAAAACCATTTATAATTAAATTAAACAAAATTTTATCAAAATAAAATTCATTATCCCGGAAAAACTACAAGAAGACCACACATGGATAAGAGGTTCCGGTTACGAAAATAGAAAATAAGCCTTGTTTGATGACTGGTTACGTTTAATTGTGTTGTGCATCGATACAAACGACAACAAACTGCTCTGTAGGAGAAAAACCAATAAGTAGTAGCTTAATATTAATTGTAGTCCACCTAGGTGAACCAAGGGTCAGAACAAGTTTCCAGAGTCCACCCAGGTGAACTTGTTAGGTGGATCACGGCAGCGTTGTCAGATTTTTTCTTTTGCCAAGTCGGGATTTAGGAACTTTTTGAGTTCTTCATTACGCGCCGGGCAGGTGGCCAGTCCACACTTGTCTGTGCCACCCGCCAGCGCTTTCTCAGTACGCTTCACGCACGGTCGAGTTATTCCCGAAAAACGGGATTGAGCCTGACCCGCGCGGGGCATTCAATTTTATTTTAAAAATCGGGACGTCTGGCAACGCTGACCACGGGTAATAAACGGTTGGAAACGCATAATGGTTCACCAATACTTCAGGCAACTGATGGGAAATTTCAACGGCATCTCGGTTTAATTTCTTTGATATAGCGTAGTATAGAAAATGATTTGTGTTCTCAGCCTATTTGACGAGTCCTGCTCTACTATTTTACAAAATCTTTATGTGCGGTGAGATTCCGCCGCCCACTTATCCATATGCTACATTTGCTTTGAGAGCAGGCAAAGCGCAACAGAGGGTCTAACTTGTATTGCAAATAAGATAACTAATCATCAAAAACAGGATCTGTCATACATGAAAAAAGCACTTACTTAAAAGGGAAAATATTAATACAAAGAATCTCTTTGCACTACTAACAGATGTACAAAAGTGAATCGCATCTAAAAGAAGTGCTGTGACAAGTTATGAATCCGCAGACTTCTGCGTTATGTTCGCAATAAATGTGACTATCATGATAAGTCTACAATCCCCTAAAGTTATTTCCTTGTCCAATCCATTTCCTCTCCCGAACCGATGATGCCGCGCACTAATTATTGTTCCAGAAATAAGAAGGCACGGTGAAAATTAAGTCTTCCGCGACTGCACCTGCCGAAGAGAAACGATGCCCCTTATCGGAAATACCAACATGCAGCCGTCACATGCCTCCAATCAGCAAAAAAGTGAGTCCAAGCAAATTCTTACTATGTTGTGACCAGTGCCGTCTTAGACCTATTGGAGGCCCTGGGCATATTAGGAAAATGGGGCCCCTATGACCCCCGTTTGGTGATCTAACAGGAACTAGGGATTTTGTATTTGATCTGAGGTGGGCCCCTATCGATTGCGGGGCCCTGGGTACTTGCCCAAAGTGCCCGCTGGGAAAGAGGGGTCTAGTTGTGACGATAAAGAGCTCTTACGCAGTGGTTCATCAGTCTCTGTGGTATTACATGGTGCTGTTTAACTTCGAACTTCGTCAACAGATTGAACCATATGTGATATTCTACTAAAAGCCGGTGCTGGTGTGAATTTCAGTTCTAAAAAGTTCAATTTAAAGATACTGATACTGACATTATTTTAGGTAAGGGCGCTGTTATCCTATTAATATTATAAAATGTGAAAGGTTGTATGTTTGTAACCCAACACGTAAAAAGTTAAAAACTGCTGAACGGATTTCGATGAATTGGTACACATTCAAGTTATGATCTGGATTAAGACTGGGATTATTTTTATCCCGGAAAATGTCGGGTTTCTGTGGGTGTCGCAAAAAAACTCTAGTTACCGCGGACGAGGCCGCGGGTAGCTGCTAGTAGAAGATATAAAACCTTTATGAATTTCATCAATTGCAGATTAGTTAGAGATACAGATATCGTCTTAGTATTTGGTGTGAATTCCCCTGCAAGAGCGAACGAATGAACGAAACGAACATTAACGAATTAATGACATTTTCCCAGCAGGGGAATACTCATTACTCGGTTTTTTTTATTTCAACAATATAGTGCGCAATATAATATTTTATTTCCCACTTTGTTTCCTGTATCCGTTTCCGGTAAGTATTTCCTTTTCTTTTTAGCCTTTGGTTTTGATTTAGATATAAGTTTTGGTAGGCGAATCTTCAAATTTTCTAAAGCGATTATACCGTGGTTAAATTCGTCACGCACATTTGACAAAGCTGAATGAGAAACAAGGAAATCATGCCAGACAATCGCTCGTCCAAATGGAAGCGGACACGACGTGTCGTCACCTCGCGTCTATTTTCAATAAACACCTCTCCGCCATGAGTAATTAGTGGCAATACATCAACATGTCATTCCCGAGAAGCCATATTCGATTTCTAAACGCAGCGGCATTTAACAACGTGAACGCACCCCTAATGATCCCGCCAAAACAAATGTCAAAAAACTTTTAATTTTTCTAAGAGCTCTACAGCGAAAGTCGTAAAGTTTAAACTGCCACAATAACACAAATTCCCGTGTGAAATTATAATTTTGTATGTCGAGATAAATGCGGTGAAGATTTATTGGATATCTGGCAGTCGTTAAAGAAATTACAAAGAACATACAATGTCGGAACGGGTTGTATTTCAGTTTTAATGATATAATGAGTGCGTGTGTCATTTAAACTGCTCCGAAAATGTTTTAGAACATGTTTAAAAATCGTATCCGGTTAGTAGTAATTTAATAAAGCTATTCTTACAATAGATTTCATTCAAAATGTATAGATAGTTAACCTAAGTCAAATCAACATGGTTTCTAAAATATTTTATTTTAAAGAAGAGGTGCGAGCTGAATATATTTTTTTAAATTCCTTATTCAAAGGATTCTTGCAGCAACTAAAATAAAGAATGCTATATAAGCATAAATATATGCTTAATAATGCCACGATCTGAAAGATTACTTAATTGATTAACAAATATAATCCTAAGATATTTTTTATATTTAGGTGCTTCTTTGTGACCTTAAACGGTATAGAGTTAGTTATACACAGACTTAATAAATTAGAAGATAATTTACCGGTTAGGTCGGTAAGTATATTAGAGAGGTTCTGTTTCGGAAAGTCGATGTATTTTCGTTGCGACCATCTTATTTACATTACCAATATTCCTTGTTAAAAACCAGTTTCAAATAAAGATCGTGTTAACCTCCTTCTGAACTGGTTACAAACCGTTGGTTTGGATGGCGGCCTAAAGGTATTTGTGGTTCACAAACTTTACAGACCACTGATATAAATCAAATCATTTACAATTAACGCACCGAACAAATTAATTAGTATCAGGAATAGTCAAACGCTGTGTTCTTTCATGAAAAACAACAAAACAAGCTAACAAACTTCAACGACACAGCGGTAAAGCAATTAATGTCAATTTATCCACACTTGTCAACGCGCCATGTCTTTGTTTTTTCGCGCGTTCCACAGTTTCACTGTGAAAAAAATATCGTCTTCCGTCCGTTATATGACTTAGAATTTGTTGAAAAATAATTCTTATTTCTTTTAGAAATAAAGTAGATTTTCATATAACCATACAATTTAGAAATAGAATCATTGTTGTGAAGCTTAGAATCGATTGTCTTTGGTTAATGCTTCTGTCCTTCTCTAGCAATTTAACTTTACAGCTTTTTAATGAGCTCAAAGCACTTACTAAATTTCTCTGGGCAGACAGTTCTTTTCATGTTCATTTCCCCTTTTTTCTGAGTCGGTGAATGATTGCGGAGTGGAGAGATTTAGCTAACGAGACTCGGGAGGCGTTAAGATTTATCTTTTCGTAACAGATTTAGAAAATGAGACATCAGTGAGCCTTTGACTATGTTTGTGTGCGTATCTGTCGTGCATGCAACGGAACGTCAATCGGAACGGCTAATTTGAGTTGAGAACTTGCGATGCAAAGAACAAAAAGGATGAAGAGGAGACGCTACGCCAAATAAAACAATCAAAACATTAAGTCTCTGATGTCCTTTATTAGAAAATAAAAGTCGATAATAGGTAATTAAACGGTTTTAAATCTGTATATTAATTATTTGCTTATAGAAAAGAGATAATGCTAAATGAAGTAATTCATATTTAGTAGTATACATAGGGGGTATAAGGGGTGCCGCCTAACACCCAACGGCACCCAAGCCAACCTCACCTGCCCGCGGTGTACCCTGCCGACCAACGGACGAGGCTCTGGCGCTCCCCACCAACCCGCACTGGGCCAGCGTGGTGGGAGACGGCCCAAAACCCCCCCTAAAATGATAGTACATAATAAGAGGCCCCAAGTGCCCGGCGGTGCTGGAGTCCGTGGCGGCGCTGACGGACGCCGACTCGGCGCCGGGACCAGGGGTGCGAAGAATCCCCGGGCGGCAAAAATCCCCCGTCAAACGACCTTGGCCCTGGCAACGTACAACGCACGCACACTACGGACCGAGGAGAAGCTGCTGGAACTGGAGGAAGAATTGAGCAGGATTCGCTGGAGTATTGTAGGACTATCTGAAGTCCGAAGAGAGGGCG